TATAGCCTATTTTAAAGCCACTATAGAATTAGGTATACGTACGCCTTGGTACCTCGCAACATGCCACGATAGTTTCTAGGAAGGACCTCAGTAGCAGTAGTACTATCCAGGCAGGTAGAACCAAAAAAGTCTACAAGTCTGTAAATAATCTTGACGCTTATTTTTGTACGTAGCGTAATTCCAAGTAGTTCCATTTAGAACTGTTCGCCTTCTACTCAAATAACACTGTAACACAGGTCATGACAGAATTGGATACACTTTCCAATGTTACTTAATTTTTTTTTAGTCATACCATCCGATATCGAGGTAATTACCATAACAAATCAACTATTATTTTTTTTTAACTTTCTCGTTACATAATTTATTTACAGCAAAATATAACCGGGATTACCCTCTGTCGATGTATTTATTTTATTGATAGCGATTTCCGCTATCAGCTTTAATAAATTTACATGTCATTGTACTGTTTATAACCATTGCAGATAATTTCTTTCTTTTTTCATTAATACTTTGCATGTAATAATATGATACTTGAAAAACAAGAAATAACTGCCGACCTCTTGGCCGAGCTTAGCCTGTCAACAGGCAAAATAAATCATTGCATATTCAGCCAGTTATATGCTTTTTCAATGGCCCCGTAACGGAACGAACACGTGATTTGAATCGATCCGAGTGCAAGCTACCACCTTACTAAAAGCTCCTTGAAGTGACAATTTCAACATGGTACAGTAATAATAGAAATTTACTGGGGTAAATATGTATTTAAATTAAAAATTATCTATTCGATGCCAATGTTCCAATTACTAAACTGCATTACTGACTCACTTACATTTGTAACTGTAATTCATTTTCATCACAGAATGAACATTTAACTGTCTTCGTGACCCACTAAATTAGGTACGTACTCTTTAATGAATTACATTAGATAATAAGTTTCAAACGAAAATATTTATGTACTAAAAACGGGGCATAATTATCTCCTACGCTCATGCTAACTTTTTAAATGTATTTTCCACAAATGGTAGGTACTTAACTTTCTAAATTCTTCAATTTCTCTCATTCATTGTCCTCAATATTAAGCAGTGAATTCAAGGAAGCGCTATTGCTATCACCGCAGGGCTTCACTTAGATAACTAAACAGTAGGGTTATACATTAGGTTATCTTGTTGTAATGAAGACCAGCACAAACCTGGCGACGTCCGGTGAAAACATCTGATAAAATAAGTTTTTGCTAAACCTTTATGTTTACGTCATATACAGTTTAACATAGCATGAGAAAGTTATAGCGAGCGGCGTGCTCATGCTATTAAGGAACTATGAGAGCCAGCGCTCGACTTATGTTGACTACTCTCGATGGTCACCTGATGGTAAGTGCTACCGCCGCCGCCCATGAACGCTTGCGTCTCAAGAGACATAAGTGCCTTGTCTTTCTTTGAGTGTTCTCCCCCTCCCCCTCTGAAGTTTGGGAGCGGGGGGGTAGGCTTCCAGTGACACAGAAAAGCAACTAATGTTTTGCTTAATACCTGTTTTCTGTGAGGTCGGCTCATCATCATCATCACGGCTCTCCTATGGGTAATTTCTGTTTTGATATTAGGAGTAGATTTATAAACACTTTTCTTTTCCGAAAAAATGCCAACATCTGGATTGAATGAGGAAAAGAAGACGGTTATTTTTTATTACAGTAACAGAATTTAATACAAGAAAACATTTCTACGCTGTCATGCGTTTTATTATGATTGTTATGCATTTATCTTTGCAATATGAGCTTATACCATATCTGCATTTATTGACATACTTATGTGATTAAACTAATTTTATTTTTTGTTTTAATGCGCAAATCTCTGGAACTATCAAAGTTAAATAACTATTGTTCTTTTTTAAATTATAGCCTATGTGAAATCACATTATAACCGGTGGAGGCAATCATAGCCGCAGTTACATACTGTAAACTACCCTAGTATTATATCTAAATAAATAAAAATGAATTGCCAAATGTGTTTCTAATCGCATAACTCGAGAACGGCTGAGACAATTCGGCAAATTTTTTTCATGGTTTCGTTAAGGCCGAAGAAGGTTTTTATGGAGTATTTCCCATACAAACCATAGAGTAAATTAAAACAACTTTTCCTTATCAAAAGTATTCTTTGCTTAAGTAGTAAGTTTAGCGTTGAATTTATTGTTATCTCAGGATAAACTCCTGTCCCTTACAAATCAGTTAGTTCAGGTAATAATCTAAGCATAAGAGAAAAACAGTTATCATAAATAAGTAATTAATACCCTAATCTTGCAAAGTTTTGGCCAACCAAGGCAAAACTTAGTTTCCTCTCTTTATGTACAACAAAACATATTTTTCTTAACTACGGGTACCTTATGCATATAGTTTAGCCTAAGAAATACCTAGTTTCTCATTATGTTTACAAGTTATTTTAATTTATAGTTGGTCTCGAAAGAGCCGTTCATTAATTTAATTTAATAATAATAGTAATAAATTAGATGTCCCTGTTTTCCTTATTCAATTGTTATGTAAAATAAGTAGTAATGAGCCGTTTTACCTTGTTTTTAGAGTTAGTATGTCAGACGGAATAGAAGAATAACGAAACCCTTATAGGATCATATGCGTTTGTCACAGCCATTTATTTCTAATTTTCTATACTATTTAAGTTAAAATTTGGTACATATAATATTTTAATTCTTGTGAATACTTAATAATTTTTCTGTGCAACGTAAATTAATTAATCTAAAATGGCTTCAACTTTCAAGGTAAATTTTGAGGGCCACATGAAAAAATAAGAACGATTTTTTATACATTATTTGGATTTAAATGAGATTTAATTATTAGATTAAAATCTTAGATAGCAGAAAAACAATTTCCTTAAATATTGCGGCCTAACATTTTGAAAAACAAAATATTTCTTTTTTAATATTAAATCGTAATAGTAATATGTACCTAATGTTTCTTTATTTATTGACTGTAGTCAAGTCCGTAGACAAACCTACTAAAACTCTTTGCTCTTAAAATAACTTGGTAAATCTCTCAATATTATGTATACGAACTTACATTTGTAGTTAAAATTTGGATAACATAGTTTTTAACTACAATGTCATGTTATGTATAAACCGATATTTTTTTATTTACGTAAAACCCGTCAAATGCATCATACGACACTGTCTGAACGCAAGTTCAGTCGCCACTTGCTGTTCTTTATGATGAATGTAATGTAGTAAATGTATGTTTTAGACACGTGGACAATAACACTCAGAGAACGTTATAGAACATCTATATTTCGGCCAAGAATCCCTTTCGACAAATCTTCCTATCCTATTTACATATTTTGTCAAAGGCTTTAGTTATTATTAATGAATATATGAATATAATGTAAGTAATAATGAATTACACTATTAATTATCAATTATAGAAATTATTACCTCATTATTGTGTATGTACTAAGTACGTTACAACCCCTGGATGATTTCAGTATGTGATAGAGTGTGTTATGCAGTAAAAATGTATCAGATTTTTTTAGATAACAGTAGAGGCTAAATCAGACTTGTCTGATCACGGCTCCAGCTATGTTTGAATTAAGACAAAATTAGATCCCGTAGATCGCACAGTAGGTAATACCATCTAGCGGCTATAAAGCTGTGCTGGGATGCATAGGTCGGCTCTATACTAATTGACACTCTTGGACGCAGGCTGTGTAGGGAATCACAGGGATTAAAACTGGTATGTTTATATACTATATGGAAAAAACAAATACCTCGTCCAGTACTTTCGTAAATATTAAAACGGCAAAGTCAAGTTATTCATAGATTAAGTAACCTTTCAAAATACATATTGTGTAACTATATATATATGTATGTAATATCTAAATATATCTTATTGCCCTGCACAAGCAATCTGTGGAACAAATTATCGCCTGCAGTAGCCAGTATTTTCGGACAGATACGATCTTCAAACCCCTAAGAGAAGAGCATAGGTTTACCTAAATGGCCGAAAGCGTTATTGTGCCTCTTAAGTTGCAGGTGTCTATGGAAGGCGGTAGTAACTAACTATAGGGTGACCTGTCCACTCCTTTGCTACTTATATTAAAAATAAATTACGAATTTGTAATAATAAAATATTATAAATTCGTAATTTTTTGTTTAGTTCAACATCAGACATATTTCTTTAGTACTATTAGAACTCACGGTGCCATGGGAAACAACCATCCCTAAATACCAGCTAAATCCCTCTATAACCTGCTTAAAGAACTTGGATTGCATAGAGCTTCAGTAAGCTCTTTTCTAGAACGAATATCCAAAGCGCGTCGTTAGGCACGTATCAAATAAGGTTAGGTAGAGGGGTAACACAGCGGACAGTGGAGGTGAGCGCTGTTGCGTTGCAACGAGTACTCCCTAAACCTATATCTGGGTCGCAATTCCCAGGCGCTGTCGAAGTCGCATGTGTTGCCCCCATCTATCACGCGATGGACCCGGCACCCGCACGGTGAATCCATGGAACGGTAAGAAATAGGTCTGCCAATAATTAAACCAAAAATCACTAAAAATTAGTTTAGTCCTGTCAAGAAACGTTTCTTATTCTGAAAAGTTAGTACTTGACAGGACTAAACTAATTTTTAGTTTAGGTAAAAGAGTTTTCGAACAACAGAATCAGCACCAATGTCTGTAGTAGTAACGAATACAAAAGCGCACTAGCGATGAGAATGACGTAGATCACGGATTATTTTAGTTTTATAACCTGCTTACTCAGAGAGAGTATGCGTAGAAAGTGTGTGCTATATTATTAGTAGCCATAGGCTATATACTAAAAAGCTATGATGACGTCACATTAATACAGTTGTAACTTGTGTCACAGCTGACGTAAGTACTCGCGCAAAGGTACTCGTAATCTACTCATGTTAACGTCGACGTGTCGCAATTCATATGTACAATAGTGTGTACGGATTAATGAACTTTCAACAAAGGCCACGTATTTCGGCAATTCTATTTTCTTTAAAGACATGCTTTTAAATACGAAGTAGTTAGTAGTGTGTTTAGGCAATTAAATATATTTTGTTCTATTGTGTTTTTTTAGGAAGAAAATTAGGCCTAACAGAACATTTACCTCTAAATTATGAAAATTGTTCTAGATAGGTTAATCTATACTTACATATATATAAAATGATAAGTTGGTTTATGGACGCTTCAAAATTCTGCACCGATCATTTTGACACGAAATACATACCGCTTCAAAAATTGTTTTTAGTTTTATTCCTCATTACCCATCAATGCAATAAAAATGTGCCACAGCGAAGCGTGGCAGAGTTCAGCTAGTACTATATGTATGGTAAACCATGTAAAATTTAATAATGAATCAACCTAATAGTTCGCAAAGAAACAAGCGTTACGCAGGTTACGCTAGATTTCTATTGCGTAACGCAGGCAGGCACGCCAAATGAATCGACATCACCGACTGTCAATAAGTAGTACATTTTTCACACGATGTGATTTGTCCGTCATCTGATTATTCATTATTATGATTCTACAAAGACGTTGCAATTGTCTTTTAAGAAAAACATCTCTACTGCATAACGTCGTATTATGAAATATGGTGTTAACTAATTTATTTTCAGGGTTATTAATCTAAACGCTAAAATGATTATTTCAATTTTGAATTTTCGTCTGTTCTAACATCTTTACAGGAAGTCTTGAAAGATAGCCCATCGGAACATACGTGATGACGAATGTGTATTACGATCACGGGCTCTTAGAGAAATTGGATGATGCAGGATGAATGCTCTTGGACTAATAGCATAAACGAGATTTGTGTGGTCATTCTATTTTCCTAAATTTCTAATGCGCCCTTAAAATAACTTACTAAATTCACCTTTTTTTGTTAATCTCTACTCTAGTCAGATAGGCAAACTACACATCTCATCTCATTAACAGCTTTTATGAAAATAAACCCTAGATTTAGTTTTAGAGACACTATGAACTTAGTCTTACTAATGATAGCTGCATTAAATGATGTTCATACACTCGATGCTGTGTGTGGTTAGTAAGACAACGTTGGAGATTGGCGTATTTAGTAGCATTCATACCGTATGTTACATAATTGTAGTTACTTACAAGGTGCAATTCAACTCACTCATTCTTTACCCAATTAATACGAATTCGGTATTTTTGATTTAGTGTGCTAGACTTGTTAGTTAGTGTGCTAGATGTGTTAGACTTGTGTTACCAACGTACCTAGTAGGTACTCGTTATTTGGAATTCACCGGTCAACAATTAAACAAGCTGACTCAGTACAAAACAACGTAGCACGTGGCGTGCAGGCGTGCACTCATTACTAGTATATGACGTGTATGCACGAAAAGCAGTTAAGCAGTTCATAAATCTCGTTTATTGATTGATACTATTTCTATCTCGCAGATCAGCGGAGCGATACGTGCGAGTGAAATGGAGAGATGTCCGCGTTGGGGATTTTGTCCATCTGTCGAACAACGAAGCTGTGCCAGCAGATATGGTGCTGCTGCACTCTTCAAATCCTCTGGGATATTGCTATCTCGACACCTGCAATTTAGACGGAGAAACTAATTTAAAACAAAGAAATGTGGCACCAGGCTTTAGAGAAAAGGTAATCATTGTAATATTTTATTTTCACCGATTATATAAATAATATAATAAATACGCTGATTGGCTCTCCACAATAAGATTTATTGCTAATACTGAAATAGAAAACTTCTAAATTCATCTTTAATGATTTTATAGTTATACGAGCTTGATAATGTTATTTAAAGTTTTTGTGTACAATGCGTGCAAACTCGAAACATTGCTGAAAAGCGAACCGTGAGAACACTTTCACCTATAATTGTTAAACATAAACACAATTGACGCCACAGAACCGCGGCCCACTTCACTGAATCGTTTGTATTTCCATTAATACAGATGTAATTTTGTTTGTTTTACAGCAACAGGAATTTAACCCAATAAAATTTAGAAGTACAATCGAAGTGGAACGACCATCGACAAAAATATATAGATTTACGGGAAGTATATCGCACCCTACCGGCGGTCGAGTTACCTTATCATCTGAGAACCTTCTCTTGAGGGACTGTACGATAAAAAATACTGACTTTGTAGAGGGTATTATCGTGTACGCTGGACACGAAACTAAAGCTATGCTTAACAACGGGGGACCAAGATACAAGTGCTCTAACCTAGAGAAACGAATGAACACAGACGTGATATGGTGTGTCTTAGTGCTGCTTTTTCTTTGTTGTACTGGCGCCGTCGGCTATAAGCTCTGGTTGGACAAGTATTATGATAATTTGTATAAGCATGTACCCTTCATTACCAAAACAAAAAACCCAGCGTATGAGGGATTACTTATATTTTGGACATATATAATCACACTTCAAGTCATGATACCAGTTTCGCTGTACGTCACAATAGAGATGACTAAACTATTGCAAGTGTACCATATACACCAGGATATCGAGATGTACGATCCGGAAACGAACACGCGAACAGAATGTCGAGCCTTAAATATAACGGAAGAGTTGGGCCAAATTACTTACTTATTTAGCGACAAAACTGGGACACTGACAGAAAATAAAATGGTGTTTAGAAAGTGTACTGTCAACGGAGTGGACTACGATCACCCCCCTGGTCCACCTGCTGAACCTTGTCCAGAATTGCCACCAATTGTCACTCCTGTAACTAGCGTGTCGCCAAATAGACGATTGGTACAACATTTAACTGATAGTAATGATGCCCAACATACTCAAAAGGTAATTAATCAATTTAATACATTTTAACACATTTGTACATATATATATGTGTATTTAGTATTTTTACTACTAATGAGAGTTTAAAGTCTATTTTACACATCATAAAAAAAGCTTTATACAGTAATGAAATATTGTGACTGTAGTGTAGTAAACCTAATCATTTGAAAATGATTCATGATGCACGGGAGAAAACCCTTCACCGGTGTAAGGTTAATCAGTCTTTAAACGTGCTGCCTCCTCTGGAGGACCATGTAGGTGGAAAAATTTAAAATTTTGCACATTTTCAAATGACTCCCTCACTGCACTGCAGATCTTATGGTTAAGGTATTTGCATGTAGAGTTTAGGTACAAATATTGTCATGTTCCAGGTACGCGAATTCCTCCTGATTCTGGCCGTTTGTAACACAGTAGTGGTGAGTCAACCCCACGTGGATACAATGCAGTTAAGCGTCTCAGGTGAAAACATTGGTGAAAAAACTTCACGTTCAAACGGCACACTGCGATCGAATGATAAGTGAGTACAAACCTGTTGCATTACTCGTATTAAAATTGTCGACAATAGAATAAAGCAGTGTTTGTTATTATACGAGTCCCTTTCATTACCTTACATCATGCGATATTGATAAAAGTTTTATTTACCCACTTGTGGAAAAGATAAGACTGAAAATCAGATAACCAAGTATCTACTAAGTACCGGTAGTGTTGTTATCGCTAATCAAATAACATACGTGTAAAATTATACATTAAAGATGAAAGGGATATCCGGTAACTAGCTGGTATCCGGCCAATTTTGGTCGAATCTTAAATTTAGTATTTGTTGCGATAAAGCATCGGATTGATATTGTTCTACCATATTTTCTTAAGGCAAAAGATGCAAGATTAAAGCCTCGAATAATTTAATTTTTCATTCACGTGTCATTTTCTGTAGGCTTCCTTTTATACCGACTCGGCAATACTCTTCACCCTTTGATAAAAGGTTCCCATCCGGTTCGAAACCAGTCCCCATATATGTTTAAAACATATTATGTAGTATATATTCTATCTATAGATTATTTAAGTTGACCCCCGTACACATGACTCAGCTAAGGGAAAGTCGAAAACCAACGTCAGATCTCCGTGACACATACTGAATGGCACCAAGCCATTTAAGACACTGCTATAGCTTTACGGTTTTGAAACGGTTGGTTTGCTGTAACTTTTGTGACTGATTCGAGATATGAATCAAGACTGAAGGAACTGCAGTACTTCGTAATGGCATGGTATTACCAACAATCTAGATATTTTGATTTTTATTTCATCATGCAACTCTGATGGTTGCACGACGTTTGAGGTTTTCGATTTGTTTATAGATTGCTAACTTTGAAGATTTCGCGTTGCAAGAAATATGTATAGTATAAGGAAATTATTGAATTGCCTGACGCTTCGACCAGGTTGCACTGGCCTGCTGGCTGACTCAGAATTCTCACCTTTTAATATTTCTACCAGTTGTAAACAGCGCCAAGTTGCTCCTAGTTTTTTGGCGGTTAAAAAAACGTTATCAAAACACATCTTTAATGCGAAAACTGTTTGTTCCATTGGGTGCTTAAGGTGTGTTGTATATCAGATGTTGCAATAATCTTATTTTTCATTAAATAAATTCTTTCTCTTAAATATGTTTGAATTTAAGGCCACTTATAAATTTAAGTATTATATTGTGTTCAGGATTTGTACATATATTAGTCAGTGTACGTGAGCGTAATTGGATGATTTGTTTTTTTTTTAAACAAACACATAATACCCAAAAGCATCTAGAATCGAATCTGCTACGTCTGACGTTTTTTTATAAACTTTTTTTGTAGATACGCTCGACTGACTGAATCTCGTTCGACAACTCCATCACCTCCGCCGACTTCGTCTCCTTTAAGGATAAGGTTATCAAAACTAACTTTCGGTAATAGCAGTCACAGAGAAGACACGACCAGTACCAGCGAACCGAGCACATCTAACGAACAAACGGTATGTAATAAATTCCATTTTTTTTAAACAATTCCCGCATTAAGAATATATCCTGTGTCGCGTGGGACTGTAAGGATACATAAGTCCCCTCCCCCCTCTTCTTACGTAAGATTCAATCTCGTTGTTAGAAAAAGATCAGTTACACTAAAATTCACAGTCTGACGTGGATTTTTAATTTTTTAGCAGATTATTAGGTTTTACTTTATCATTGCTATCAGATATAGATTATCTTTATATAATTAGATAACTATCTACTTTTTTGGAATATTATTATAATTAAAAGTAAGTTTTTTAAATAAAGTGAACAAACATAAATCAGTAAAACAATCTTTAAACGAATAACACTTTTAAATAATAATCGACTAGTTTTGAATTACTCTTAAAGATAATAAATTTCACTGTAAAAGGTAATACGCGGGAAGAATTCACTATAATATAATAATTATGTATGACATTTAAAATGGATGAAAATATGAATTTTTAAATTTTATTAAACATTAAAAATTAAAAATTTGTAAACTAAGATGTAAATCTAAGTGCACATTATGGAATGAAGAAAATCATTCAGCATCCGAAATAGAAATAGATTCCCCTCCCCCGCCAAGGAGGGCGGGCAAGAATGTATAGATTTTCTTAACCCCTCCCCCCCCCCCTGGGGACCTTCTTACGTAATTAATGAATTGCCCTATAGGGTTAAAGTTTTTAATAAAGCCACCTAAAAGACTTTTACAGTCAGAATGTACAGTCAGCAATGAGCGTGTCTTTATTATAGTAACTAATATAAGGTTTCCTGTGTTTATACTTGTGTAACAAGTTAGTTCTATACAAGAAAAATGAGAAATAGTAGACAGAAAGTTGATAATGAAAAGATACAAATATATATATGTATCTTTTCATTATGAGACCACTCATTCCACTCTAAGATAAAACCATTAAAACACAGTACGAAGATAAAAATTAAACATATCAACGTAAATTAAAAAACCACCGTTTTTGCAAGTCATTTATTTTTTCGAGTTAACTCTGATCACTTTTATTGCTGTTTGTATTTGTGTTTGCCTAATGATTATATTCTCAGCCTCGTTGATAATGAGATATTTAGTTAATATGTATAATTTTACATTTCTCTTACATAAACCATCTTGTATTCAAAGGATGTACGTCACTCGTTAATCCTAAATTATTTTATGTCTCTAACAAAAAGCTCCTACTACACACTTTAGTAAATAGGGTTACACCATCAAGACTGTCAACATAGTATCTTTTTACTCAATATCAAAACGTCAAGTTCAGCACAATGTTATATGATGTAACCATTTATGACATCACTTCTTACCGTGGTCAAATCAAATAAAACCCTCACTACAAATGTCAACAATTTTTCAAAGTATTATTTAATTTCTAATCTTATTCAAAATTGGTACCCATAGTACTTATATAAACTCAACATTTACTAATTTTGTAATTTTTTCTAAGAGTAGATTCTTCCACCTATATGTTATGTTGCCTATATTGGTTTAGCAAGTTATTTTGAGCATAGAAAACAGGCTATCGAGCGAGAGAACTCCCACTCCGATGGCCGCCACGAGGTCTCGCCTCTGCTCAACCCACGCCGGGCACTCTGCCAGCGTGTTGGACTCCGTCTCCCGCCCTAGTTGTGTTTTTGTTACACAAGCCTGCCACAGCGCGACGCGGTTTAGCTGACTTACTCAACTCCTTTCATAGACTCGTTGCTAAAGATATTTCGTTAGTAAATTACGTGATCAAGAAGAGCATTTTTATCGGGCCCAAACTGAAAAAAAAAACTGAAGGTTTAGTCTGCGCAATTGTAGATGAAGTTGTAATGACTAATAACTATCAAAGATAAATCACAATATACCCTTGATAGTTACAATAAACATTTTTTCGGGCATGTCATCGTTGCGTAGAAAGCCAACGGTGAGCACTTACATAGATATATCCAAGTTGCCAGGATAATCCATCAGTAAAAATACGCTTGTGACTGTGAAGTTACCGTACTACATGAATGTGCCCGACCCAGTTCTTGTTAGTTATGTATTATCACTCACAGGACTATTGTTCCCAATAAGCCTGATGCACTGGTGATAGACTAATTAGTGTCTCGAGCAGTGATTGTTGACGCTAATATTCCGTAGACGACAATTTCTTTTGAGTTGAATAAGAAATAAAAATAAAGTATTTAGATTTGGCCCACGAAAATTTGTCGACAAGTGAGATGTGTATTCGGCAATCACTGTGCCGATAGTCAAATCGACCCTCGGTTTGGTTGCTAAGCCTCGGCCAACACTTGCAGAAGCTCACTTTGGGCAGTTAGTTTAAGGCCCAGATGCAGAAAGCAGTCCTTCTCGATACGACACGTATTGTAAGAAGGTTTCTGTCTCTGAAACCCTAACTACCGACAGCTTGGTCCGTGTGTCTGATACCGATGGACACACTTTTATATCATGTAAATATATTTATTTTATTTAAATATATTTCAAAATGTAATTTTGATGTATATTTATACTAGCTGTACCCTGCCACGCTTTGCTGTGGCACATTGAGCTTGCATTGAGGAACAAAACTCTAGTGAGCAATAGATGAAAACAATCTTTGATGCAATTTGCATAGCGTGTCATTATTCGAGCAATCAGTGCAGCACTTTTTAATAATATTAATGTTTGTTTTGTCTTATTTAAGTCATACACAACAATTATAGAGGTCAAAAGTATATTTACGTTTGTGCCAAGTTCACATTGCAATAGCTAGCGCTTACTAGCACACACTGCAATAAAACATACTGGTACATTTTGAATTGCCAAATTACAATGCGTGGGATAATCGTAGACAGTCACTTCATATAGGACTTATTTTATAAATAAAAATATGTAATAAATTTCATCCTAAACGCAGAATTTAAAATAAACAAATTATTTTACGCACTTTGAAGAAAACTCTATCCAGATCTCAACTAAGCATATCTTTTACTATAGGTTCTAGAACATAAGTAAACCTGATAGCTTTCTCCTCGGCAAACATACATCAATTATTACGTAGAAAAACCAGACCAGTAAAAATAGACATATTCATGCATACAAATATTTGCAATAAGCGAGATTATAAACCGCGTTTTTCTGATGTTGCAATCGAATGGAGGAGACATTAAGATGGCGAAATTCTCCATTTTTTATGTTGTAGAATGTGTTTTCTCAAGAATAACCGGCACTTCTCTATTTAACAGCATTCCCGCTTTGAAGCTGAAAGTCCAGATGAACTGGCTTTAGCTGAGGCGGCACTGGCATACGGCTATGAGCTGCGGTCCCGTGCCCCCGATGAAGTGGAGTTGGGTATACGCGGCGAATTGACCAAAATCAAAGTGCTAAGGATACAACAGTTCGATTCTGTAAGAAAATGTATGTCCGTTGCACTGAGGCTTCCCACTGGCCAGGTGAGACACATTTTACTCTACATTTGTTGTTAATTTTATCTTTTCGATATAGAAACCGTAATTACTATTTACCTATTGGCCTAATATTAAACATGGGTTACACACACGTTTTTTTTTTAATTTAATTTCCAAGGACGTCAGACTCATCAGTAAATATTATATTTACTTTTTCTTTTAAACTCCCGCCTTAGAAATGATTCCTCTGTCGCGGGGGACATTATACAAACATTGAGAAAAAATACACAAAGTAAACCTATTTGTTCACTACACAAGTTTTTGTTCCATCTGGGAATGGAACTCTCAACAGTCAACACATAGCAATGCGACCACTTTAACTAATGCGTCATAGTGAGTCTAAGATCTATGGATTTATCACGGACTTCAATTAAATACTAAACTTGTATAAACAGTTTTCCTGTGTTAAAATATTATTTAATTGTTATTCTGTACCTACATAAGTTATAATCTCTGTGTAGGTGGTATTATACGTTAAAGGAGCCGACGCCACTGTACTTAACGCCTTAGCACCAATGCTGCCTGGTTCAACCGAAGCGGCTGCGTGTGAAAGGACCCGCGTTCTATTGTCTGAGTACTCGCGGCAAGGTCTACGTACACTAGTCATGGCGAAGCGTATCATGCAACCTGCCCTATGGGAAGAATGGTTGGCTGGTCATAATCGAGCTGCTGATTTTGGTGAAGGTATTTTTTTTTTCAAATTTAATAATTTTAATAAGTTAAAACTATTTATTAAGTTATAAAGTATGTAGTATTTGAAAAAATAGTAAGAAAGATCTGCCGAGATAGTAAATTACCAAATAGACACTATTTATAACAATAAATGATTTATGAAAATAGTGGTATTATCGATCTCTTTAAATATTTTTAGCTTATTCGCCTAAAAAAAATTGTGGGTTGTAATCCAAAAAAAACATATGTTGGTATAGTCAAAGTAACTGTATTAAAATGTACGATTATTACCACATGAGATATAATCAATAAACCTACTGCCCATTTGGTTTTATGTTAGTATTAAACTGTAGTTACTTTTGTGAAAAATACCTTACACGGTCACAGCGACTCTAAAAATGGCTGTAGCTAATCAAACATTTAAATATTCATACTTTTACTTCGTTTATTTACGTTATATAATATAATTTATTTAAAATATTTTCTGTACCTATAGTAGGTCGCGACAAACGAATTCGGGACTCGCTAAATCGCCTGGAGAGTGCTTTAACATTGGTCGGAGCAACAGGCGTTGAAGACCGATTGCAAGAATCAGTACCACGCACCGTAAGAGCGCTGTTAGACGCTGGGATAATCGTGTGGGTACTGACCGGTGACAAGCCAGAAACTGCCATAAATATTGCCTATTCTGCTGCCCTGTTCTCACAAAGTGACCAGCTATTGTACCTTATGTCAAGAGACAAGGTTAGTTATTCATTATTACTTTTACAGGACCGTGTTACAATGACAAAATAGTTTGTCCTATAGTAGCGGCTATCATCATGGCATGTAAAAGATAATTCTATATAGATTTACTAAATTTTTTTAAGTGCACTATAGAGCTCATTTTTAGGGTTCTGTACCTCAAAAGAGGAAAAAAAAGGAAAAAAGGAAAAGGAAAGATATAAAGATAATAAAGGAATAATTCCAAAAAATAAAAAAGGTTGAAAATTAAGATAAATTTTGGGGGTACTTACAAATTTTCGCAAAAATCTACTTAAAATCTGGGTAGGTACGGAACCCTCGGCGCACGAGTTCGACTCGTACCTGACCGGTTTTTTCTTATTCTTATCTGTCTTTACATACGATTCTTAGAGAACATTGGTCCCTTTCCTTTCGTTCCAGTGAAACCTCTATACTATTATGTTTGGCGAGTTATACTAATGTTATCCTTCAAGTACTAATGTTATCCTGCAAGCCAGAACATAAAGTTTCGAATTAAATGCATTGACTTTCGTTTACGACGAAACTAAATCAAAATTAACTATCAACAGGATCATGCAGAATCTACCATTAAGAACTATCTAGAAAGCCAATCTCAATCAATCAGTATGAGTATCAGTGGACAAGCTCTAGTAGTGGACGGCAGAACGTTGACGTACATTCTGGACCGACGCTCCGGATTAGTGAAGCCTTTTCTGTCTCTAGCGAAACGGTGCTCTGCCGTGCTATGTTGCAGGGCCACTCCGCTTCAGAAGGCTTACATCGTTAAGGTAAGCATTCACTAGGAAGTTACCTTAATGAGAACTCAGTGTGCGCAGTACGTTAAGGATCACGTCAGCTATCGATTTAAATATTTATCACGATTTAATCATAAGTGTCTCTGTCTCTTCTAGAAACACATTTCATACATATTTTATAGTATATGTACCTGATTAATATATTCACGTTTTTAAGTCTCTTAATACTTGTTTATAAAATAAGAACCAAAATATGAAAATTTACGAAACCACTAAACATTGTTTCATTGATTTTTATTAGTGGTATGTGGACCTGTGTTATCCTGCTTCTACTTTGCCGTAAAATGAAACTCACGATCCACTATTTATTCTTGTGGTTCAAACAAATATTTTACCTTGTTATGTGTATATTTAGGCGGTGAAAGAAGAGCTGGGCGTCACCACTTTGGCCATCGGGGATGGCGCCAACGACGTTTCTATGATCCAAACTGCTGATGTTGGTGTTGGTACGTATTACATTTGGTTACTGACACTGTTTCTGGTCCACTCATTACACTCTACTACATTATACATTAGATATGGGGTAAATACTGCACTGACTGCACGGATGGCGTAGTGGCTTAAGCGGTCGCCACGCCGCTTTCTACTACGCTGAGAGTTGAGGGTTCGATCCCTACATGGAATTGTGTTCTCACGTATTGCTTAAGGACTTAGTAAATAAGAAGGACTTTGAATATTATATCGTCATATAATCAGAGCACCTGATTTAAGTCTACACAGTGTCGCGGACGATCAAGCAATGGCTGCACTAGAGTGTACATCTTGCTAAGCGACTCAGTGATGCGACATACTACTACTTACTAAAGCAGTGATGTTACAACACATGGGACGACACTTTGTGCGATCCACAAATTGTCGTTCTGAGTCAGGCTGTTCTTTGTGTCCGTTCCATGTATGTTTGTAAAGTCCCCCGCTACACAAAATATTCCTAGTTCGAAAGTTGTCTTTAAAAAAAATACTAAAAAACATTTAGAAAACAAGAGATTGTAATATTCTTTTTGTAAAACATACATACATTGTAATACATACATAGATCTTTAATATTAATATTATTGAAACTTACACTGGGCTGTCTTATCGCGGAAAGCGATTTCTACCAGACAACCCTAGGACTTGAGTCAGTGGTAGCTGTCGGGAGTCACAACATTCAATTCATTACACACATAATTTAATAATAATAGCGACTTGACACTCCTAACACACGGTCGTCTGATCTCAAGGCATATTTTATTTAAACCAGACTGCTGATAAATATACTTACTAAATACATACATATTGTAGATAAATTACACCTATACGTACAACAATTGTTTCTATTGGGAGGAAATCGTACTCATGAATGACCTCTGACCTCCCAGTTTGGAACACTAACTAGATCAACACACCTGTCCAAAGTGATTACTAACCAACATATAACCATACACACATTCATACAATATGTATATGTATATATACACGTATATGGATAGCTAAATAATATATACCGAAGTAATAATCACATGTGAGAACGATACATGTCAATATCCAGCAAATAAACATTATAACAATAATAGAGTGGTAAATAATATAATAATAATATTGTACCACATTCACACAAGGCCATCTAGTCCCAAACTAAGCAGAGCTTGTACTATGGGTACTAGACAACTGATATACATATATACTTTTTTTTGTAAATACATACTTATTATACATAGAAACACCCAGACCAAATCAAACATTAAATGTTCATGCACACAAATATTTGACTTGAGCGGGAAACGAACCCGCGACCTTTGGAATACCAGTCCGTTACACAAACCACTACGCCATTCGGTCGTCAAGTAAAAATAAAAATAATATTATTCCAAAGAAAGTGTTAAGGTCAACAAAATATTTTTATTTTAAAATGTATTCATCAATCATCAACAGCCTTTGATTCTTACGACACCCACAAAAATGAATACGGGTGATGACACTCCGTATTCTTAATGACGGATTTTAAATATTACGGGATATAAAAGTAAAGATAGAACTGAAAGACACAGTTATATCAAATGTAACGTAGTAACAGCTCACCTCACTTTGTGGCTTTATTTAAAAGTTACTGATAAAAAAGGAGTAAAATAAACCGCGTGTTTATGTATTACGTCGCTATCTAAGCCGTAAAGGCAATGTATTTATTGACTGAGCAGATGTTCAAAGTAAATAGATAAAATGTCATATAACATAAATACAGAATTTCATTAAAACAAATTATTTTAACTGTATTTTTCCTGATCATTAATTAAAAATTATTTACTTAGATTGCCACAGTTTAAAATGGGACTATCAAAAAGTAAACTGTGGAGCAGAACAGTTACATTCAAGTTCAATTCATAGTTACATTCAAATATATATATATATATATCTGTATATACCTATAACTTTGCTAATACCTGAATCAATATTGAATATTGTATTCATAAATAGGCCTATTCAATGAGACCCCACGTCATGGGATGGATGAATATAAAAAATAACATCCTAGGTTAGTACCTAGGATGTTATTTTTTATATTCATCATAATTCATTCATAAAAAATAACATCCTAGGTTAGTACCTAGGATGTTATTTTTTATATTCATCCGGCGTGATTAGTATGTATGTTCATGCGAAATTAGCATATATAATAGCTAGCACTAATAGTGTGAAAGATACAGTGTTGGCAGACAAACGGACGGACAGACATGACGTAACTATAAGGGAAGACGAAACTGTTATTGCCATTTTGGCTACGGAACCCTAAAAAACCTATAAAAGTATAGAATGATTTAAATCAGTTCACGAATAACCCAAAATAACTCGTAACACACACAAAAACAACACTTAAATTGAGAACCTTCAAATTGATTGAAAACATCAAAAAAAATTACAATTGCAATTAACATTGTTAAATTGAAATATTTTCACGCCTAAATCACTAAACGAAATACACATGAGCATTGCCATAAAACCGGGAAAAAGTACCCTCTTTTGAATGGAGTAACGCACATCAAAGCGAGTGAAAACGCGTACCACAGCTAGCATACAATTATATTACCACTTTTGGTACAACCATGGGCTTGATATTAACATGGGCTTGGGCTTAAATGATATTATTATTTGTTAAAATATAGCTTAACGTGTATGTTATTGAGGACACATAAATTAATATGTTTAAACAATGACTCACCAGTTTATCGCTAACGTTGAGTCAGGAATAAATTTAATGATAAATTATTACTGTTGTGTAAATATGTGATGCTGATAACATATGTCTATACTGAATTTGATCGTGACAATCATTGTCCGAACATCAGAGACATTGCCCATGATGTTGCAGGTGGCTGCGCAAGTACATTGAAATATTTTTATTCTTAACTGGAGCATATTTAACAATAATTATTCTAAATTTATTGGGCTCAACCCAATAAAGTGTGTACGTAATATGTAGGTACCTGAGCCTTTTCCGTAAGTCGCTGTTACTCGTGTCTATGGTTGCGTGTAAAATCTTACAAATAAAAAATAATGTTCGGCAAAAAAGAAAAAAAAACAGAAATGTGTACTGAAAACTTTAACTTAATTTTCACTTCAAATAACACTTATTAAGAATCTAGAGCTTGAACCAAAAAGGAAAAAAACATTATTTATGTAGGTCAGTCATTAGAGAAGCTGCGTTTTATGCTTTGTTCGCAATGCCATACTTAAGAAAAATCTGTGCATCGTACAGACATCTGTACGATACATATATCTGACATGTATCGTATAGACAAAGAAATCACTCACCGAATTTAAAAATACTGATTCAGTACATTTTAATTCTGAAGCTTTGGAGTTCTCACAACATCAGAGACTAGTGCATTTTTTTATAAAAAAACATGCTTAAGGTATCTGTAGGAGTATCCGTCTTTTGGCACCAATGTTTTGAGCAATCGTAACATGATACTTTAGCACGCTCACTTGTAATAAATTTCAAAAACAATTAGGGATTTGATGAGAAATAAATCTTCATAAGGATCCATCATGGATCTGGACAATGGATCTTCTGAGATTGAACGAAAAAGAAATTCAGTAGATCGACATCTAGAAATCAGGATCCAATGAGAAAAATAATCGTTAATAAAATCTATCGTGGATCTAGGAAATGGATCTTCTGAGATTGAACCGTTTAGAGGGTTTATTTTAGGGCTTTACCTATTTTTCTAGTAATAACATTAAGTGGGAAGCCGGTTGGACTCTTTATTACTGCCCGACGTTTTTTGACCCTCAACTCTTCTTACTTACTTTGTTATATGTAAATCAATTTTGAATCTTAATTTAGTTTTTTTTTGTTAACACAATGTTAAATGGTGCTATTCTACATCTTCATCAAAGAATTTGATTAGACTCTTACGTACACTAAGTATTAAACATAGACCTTATTAAAATACACCTTTACCATATATATTTTTTTGGAAAGTCTAATATTTGTACTACTAATTGTTATTAATATGTCTATATAAATTTATAACAGGTATTTCGGGCCAAGAGGGTATGCAGGCGGTGATGGCGTCAGACTTCGCACTCTCGAGGTTCAAATATCTTGAGAGACTGTTACTAGTTCACGGCCATTGGTGCTACGATCGTCTTGCCAGAATGATACTCTACTTTTTCCTCAAAAATGCCGTAAGTTATACTCTTAATTTTAGTACGAAGCATCGGTTCTTCATCGGCACTTCCATTTAACTTTTTAAAATTTAGTAAATTGTTCACTCAGTAAGATGCTCGTAGGTAATTGGTAACAAAGTAGGGTAGCGCATTTCAAAGTTAAGTAATTCTAGCTAGTTCAGTATATGAATGGGTGACCATTCTTAACAGTATTAGACTCCTCCTTGCCTCAAAGAACACATCTGTAGGTCTGACAACAGTCTATGTACAGAACTTAGATATCGCCTCTCTGATTTCAGTCGCTTAACGTAAAAAAAATATACGAAATTCAGCCTTGTCCTAGTAGACAGAAAACCGATTCCAACCTAGTTTGGACAGGAAAGGCGCGGAAGAAGATGAAATTTTTAAATTTATTTCGACAAATCCAAACATAAAAAACATCTGTGACATTATTACACGTACTCTAGAAAGAATTTGAAACGATTTATTCATGATTTTGATTGATACGTTAATAGACGAATGTACCTACTATATATAAAGCTTTAAAACGTAAAAAAATAATTATCTGGTTCATACATAGTTATATAGATACCACGACAATTGTTTTTATACATGAATTTGTGTTTTTTGTTTATGAAGTACGTTTTTGATTAAATGTCTTATTATGTAAAAAATGATCCTTAGAAGGGGAACAAAACATTTTAAACTAAAACAGAAATAAGCTATTTACGATCTTCCCACACCACGATTAAAGCAATAAAGAACCGCTATAAAAAACAATGTTATTACATGGCTAATTGACTATTATTGTTTGACTGTGTAACAGGTTCCCTTTAATTTGGTGCGAGTGTATCCCACTAATGTAATAATAACTACTTCGTTTGACAAATTACACCAATCGAAGGGACTAAAAGTGATATGAATTATTAAACAGTCAATTGAAAACGAACGACTTGTGAGAGGTTATTTGTTGACTTTATTTTACTTATGATAACCAGTTTGATTGTGTCAAGTATTTTGTTTGTGATTTTATTGATTTATAGGCACGCTCTTTTAAAAATGCATTTTAGTCAGAATAATTAATCTAAATCTGAATTCTAATTGTCACTAATAGGGAAAAAATATTTAAGGATAGGGTTTTTTTACTGTTTGCTAACATTTTACTAGCCGTGGGCTTAGCCTGCTCAGCACCGACATGGGTATAAAAAGAATACAGGTTAAAAATTTCCACATTACTTGTAAAATTTTGTTTTAAGAAAATAGCTATGAAGAAATATCAGTGTAATCTTAATAATAAACCTTAAAAATAGACAATACGTTTTATAATGCTGTTTAAATAAACACACCGATATTTAAACAAATTACAGCTACTTTTTGTTTATATATATTATATATAGATTATGCAGATCCATGTCCAAGTTTTTGGATGCTAAAATAACTGATTTCATGTGATTCGCATCATTGCTGAACGAAGGCCTGTAATTCTCAGTTAAACCTTTTTAGAAATTAAAGCAAACTACAACAGGCTTTATTATTTAAGCTTTCTTAATGCACAAACCCACCGATAGAAAATACCATTAGATAACAGTCTTTATTTACAGTAAATGACAACAAACCATTAATAAATGCCTGACAGGCTCTAATTCCAAGGCACCTATGTATTGTTACGTGTATAATCTAATTGGTATGTTATATATGTATTGTTTTGTTCACAGACATTTGTGTTCCTAATATTCTGGTACCAGATGTACTGCGGCTTCTCATCGAATGTGATGATCGACCAAATACATCTAATGACCTACAATCTCATGTTCACTGCTCTGCCACCTATCGTCATCGGTAAGTTCACAATACTTTAATGTAAATAAGTTTTATAAGAACCCAGTCTCATCTGTTAATTACCTTACCTACATAATAGATATTAACTTAAAGAAACTTCTTAACGGAATACTATAAAGAGTACATGACAGGGTTTCACTTAGCACTTTAAATATTCATAAATTAGTATGGGGCCACAAGATCTTTAGCCGTTAGTTAAGAAGTAGCTTGTAATAGGGACAAATCAGTGCATCGAAGACTCTTCAGAACTGTATAAACGAGAACTGACACTTTATTAAAATACAACGTATTAAGTCTAACACAAACGACCATCTACAGACAAGATAGGCAGCTTCTCAGGACTGCGTTACAATATTACTGCCAATCAATCGATTCTTCCAGTGGACGTCTTTCGGCTGAGAAGAAGGATCGATTCCAACATTAAATATTTATGATTTTTTCATTAACACTGCTGTTCTTTTTCAAATTTGTTTAGTAATTATACCATAATAGCACACAGCTATAATAGCCAGCACTCCTACACTCAGCATTTGGCATCCGAACACGGTCATAAATTATAAAAGTGTAGAAATCATTTCCGCCACGTTGAAAATTTAACAACCGTTACAATATACCGTCATTTTGGCAATGTTTTCGGCACGACTCCACAATAGCACAATAAATTAAATAACTATGTTGCAATCCAATTTCACCCACTTACAGAATCCTACCTTTTTTATTACTCAGCTTGTGCATTTGCCAATTTGGAAAAAGATGAAATTAATTTGTCAAAAAAAGAGGAATTCCCAATTTAGCATTCTTGTTGATATCAATATAGAAAAAGTTAAAGAAGAGGTTCAATAGCAAAACGATAATACACATTGGATACGGTTCCATTCAGAATACAAGTTTGGCTGCAGACTACATTAGTAAATTGGATTCCTGACATCATCACGCCTTTTAACATCATAGATTAATGTGTATTGTAGAAATACTGTAATTTAGGTTCTTCTAGAAATCCTTATGTAGGTTTATTTAATTTTGTTTTATTTTTCCTTAAAATAATGTGTTTATATGTGAAGAGATTGTCTGTAGTATATTTATTAACTAGCTGGTACCCGCGACTTCGTTCGCGTGGAATTTGAAAAGCGCTGCCTTAGTGGGTTCGATGCCCGGACGGGGCAAGGAGAGGAAAAATAGCCTAAGTTATTCCTTATGTAGAGAGCTACCTGGTACTAAAATATGATAGAATTCGGTCCAGCCGTTTAGAAGATTACTCGGAACAAACACAGACAAAAAAATTAACTGGTTTTTAGGCATAGGTATCGTGCAAATTGCCGTGTGAGCATGAAACAAAACCTATAAATTTGACATAACAAACAACACTTCAATTTTATTTATTTGTATAGATTATTGAAATAAAATTATTGAGAATGTCGTGAGACTAGGGTCAGGGCGTCAGTACAGGCGTCCATAGGGGTCTATGGACCCCTATGGACGCCTGTACTGACGCTTTACACGGCTGTGACTATAGCAAAAAGCGTCGAAAAAAAATCTTGTTACACATTTTTCGGTCTCGCTCGCATCCGCTCAGAGCGTGTAACGCGTGATAAGGAACTTTGTTCCAATAACTCTAGGCCTTAAGGTAAGACTTACAAGTCGCTTACTACTTTTGTCGTAAATTATAGCTTAGTTACAGGCTTCTTAACCACAGCTATATTCAAACGAGAAAATCAATTATTATTCAACTTATGGGTTGAACACTTCTTTAACTACTACTACTAAGTTTACAACCCATAAGTAAAGAGAAATAATTTAAATAGAAAAACAGAATAGTATTCAGTCATTGACAGTAATTGACCTATCGACACTTTGTTAACAGGCGCATACGATCGGCTCGCTCCAGCATCGTTGCTAACCGAACGTCCGGGGCTATACAGCTCTTGTCGACGAGGACTAGCGTACAGGACGTACTCTTACTGGCTAGCCCTTGCCGAGTCCGTCTACATCAGCGTCGTGATATTCTTCATCGCCACCTTTGCTTATTGGGACACCACCGTCGATTTGAGCAGCTATGGAATCTGTTGTATGACATGCTGCCTTGTTGTGATGCTACTGTATGTCGCGATTGAGACCAGAAGTTGGGTAAGTAAATACTCATAATTTTAACGGCTAATTTAACGGTAACCTCAGTCAATCGGTGTAAAGCCACGAACGAATTACTTAAGATCGGTTTTCATGCTTCGGCCTATTTTTGCCAGAATAGCTATATAATAGAAAATAAGAAAAGAAAATGTTTTTCTTCCTAAAATGTTTTTTCTACTCCAGATACAGAACTTTCATGTCAATTTAAATGAAACTTTTTTTAAATTTTAATGCAGACATTATCAAAAAAAAATGAATTATTTCATTAATGTGAAATATACCTTTTAGCTTTATTAATGACAGCCAACTCTTATACGAAATATTAGCTTTATCTGGCAATTTTAAAGGTCCATCTGTCAGTTTTAAATTTAAAAAAGTATCACTTTTTTTTGAAATTGTGAATTGCTTCACCTTGTTTACTGGTTGTATTATGCGACCTTAAAATACTTCCTCACCTATTTGTAACAGCCTGTATAATACGCTGCATCTATCCAATATCTATGCGAATGCTTACTGAATACCCTCGCGTCGTAAAACAAGTAGAAAGCTGATCTAGTACATACAATGTGTTCGTTTTTTAAATATGGCCACCGTAAGTATATTGTTATAAGGTTCCGTTGATTACTTAGACATTTATATTACAATCTTAGATCACTTATATGTTTAGATGGAAGACTGACACACTAACATACAGAGTGATGGTGGAAAAGAAATTGTGGCCAACAATTGGACACTATTAATTTCGACGCTTTCACAGTCTATCTAGATATATCAATGATCTAAGATTACATATATACAAATAAGTTTGTTTATATCATTCAATTCAACTATTTTCATGCAGCTTTTCAATTCCACAGAATTTGTAAGTGGTTGTATTTCAATAATGCATGGGGTGGGATCACAATATTAAAGATTATTTTCAGAGTATTTTGCCGTGTTTTGTGTGTAGATGATTTCAGCACTAGTGTTTGGTTTTTATTGCAACGTGTGAACACCTTAATTACCTAAAAACATTTAAAATCAATACACTATCACTCTTTTATGTTATCCCATAAGGAAATTTACGGATTATACACACCATGCCCACGTCTGACTTATATAAACTGAAGGAACAACTTTTGACAGAAACGACCACCGTGCTTTAATTTTAGCTCACCGAATATTTTTAAATTATACCGTATATGTACAAATTTTACGTAATTTTGTACATATACTATTGCAACGGGAAAAACTTTTTGTCATGTTTTGTTTGCTATCTGTAAACACTGGTAATATCTGTCCCAGTTTTTTTTTAATAATTATAAAAACTTAATTTTGTAGGTTTCATACGATTAGTAAAAACGATTCGATCGATATTACAGTTTCTGAACATAGAATTTAAATAGCGAACTAATTACAACTTAATTTTTAATGTGAACTCAATAAACGATAATATACTCTTAATCTGTGTAGTGTTTAATTTTTCAAAATAATCTAAAATAGCGATGAAAGTGTGAATAAAACTAAACACATTTCTAGTATAATGACATCACTTTCCAAAAATTGATTTCTATACTGTACTACACTACGCAATGCGTTTTAGAGAATTTAAAATATTTTCTAGATCATTCACAATCCGTGATAAAAATATGGTGTGCAAACAAGTATAGTATTAGATCATGCAACATTTTAATATACAACAAAAAAAAATTGAGAAGTCGATGTCGCTGCAGACGCCTTGACATCGTCCGACTACAGAATACCTTCTAGTGGACTCAAAAAGTATTAATCAATTCCAGACGGTGATACATCTGATCGCGTTGAGTGGCTCTCTGCTAGCATTCTTCATCCTGACAATAATGTACCAATCGATATGCGTCATATGCTTCAACCTGCCGTCCTCGTACCACGTGATGCAGAACGCTATCTTGGAGCCCGTGTATTGGCTCGTCGTCATCGTGTCTTCCGTCGCCGCATTAGCGCCTAGGTAAGCGGTAGGCGGTGAACTAAATCGTCCGCATGAACGTAGGCCGTTTATTCACTGTTAATTATTTGAACAAACGTTCAGGTTGGCGTACCACGGCATCCGCAACTCGGTCCGGCCGGGCACGCTGCGGCGCGCGGTGGAGGCGCGGCGCCGCGCGCGCCCCTACGCCGCGCACTACCGCTCCGCCCCGCCCCACGCCACCCTCTACCGGTTCGTATTGCACCACGCTACCTTCTACAGACAACTATTCTCCCTCCCCAGAAGAATGGTGTTATAGCCGAAGAAACCTAAACCTCTCCACTCCACCCTGTCCTTTGCGAGCATAACTCAATGTGACAACGTTCCAGGCGCTCGCACGCATGGCGGCATCACGGTTCCGAGCGAGAGCCGTCAGGGTCACCTTTCGCGAACGATCTTAAAAACACATATCAATCCTTTGTTTAAACCTGCATCCCGCTTATAATATTTTATGTTACAGATCGACGGACGAGGACGGGTTGCAGAAGCCGCAGACGGACGTGGCGTCGATCACGTGACGACTCGTGTCGCACACGTACGCGAGCATTACCTCGTGCGTTTACATCAACCTGTAGGCTGTGATCTGTCTTAGACCTATTGTAATATATGTAGACTAATATAATTGTGCTTTTGTACGCAAGCGGGACCAACGCGACTCGACAGCCCGTGATGGGCGAACTCTCACCTTGTGTTGAAACTTAGTGCATTTAACCAGCTCACTGTTTTGCAAATTTGAGTAAAGTGTGGCGGTTGCGAGACGTTCCCGTCGAAGGATGTCCTCACGCAGTGTGTCCATTTCCCTAAGTGTTGCGTTTAACGCTTCATTCTTTGTTATGCAAGAAAGGAAAGTAATGTACTTCTTATCGTGGTTAACGTCCTTGAAGATTAATTTGTTAGAAGTTTTGTTAGAAGTGCATTTTAATAATAAACAAAAGGAAATGGACGTTCTGTAATTAAGCCCTGCGTCATTTTCTTGTAAAACGGTTTTCGAGAGCTTCTTTTGTTAATCATTATCTATCTGATTTTAATTGTAAATATTACGTCGCAAGTGTTCAGAACGAAAATATTTAACATACCATATCATCGAACTTACTTCCGATGTTTTGTGAGTTACCATATTATTATTAAATAGTATAAATTCGGCAGTGTATTATGTTAGTATTTAAGAGTCGCCGCGCCCATCACGCAGAGTGAGAATCTGCCATTGTTGTTGATGTTATATGTACCTATAGTTTGTTAATTTTAATCAGTATTTTACTGTCAGTGTTTGGATAAACCATGGATTTAGAAGTGATACAACACGATCGATCCGCTTGTTTGTTCGTTTCCTCCGCGTGAGGGTCTGCACTCCACAGCCTCTCCTCACAACGTTACTCAATATATAGCCAACGTCCAAAGTTATTAGTAGTAATTATTATTTAATTGTTCGTAATTATAATAGCCCTCTGCTTAAGTTGCCATTTTAATTATATTCCTTTGCGACGAATTCAAGTGACTCCGGTGTATATTAAAATATGGTCAAGTGAATTAAAAAGTTGTCATGCTTCTTAGTAAATATGATGTTTTTCTAAAAAACTTTAAACTACATACAGCACTCCAATACTGCTTTGGTCTGGCGTGTTCAAACTATTCTAAATCCATGACTATATTAATGTAGACTACTGTACGGAGATACGCCAACACGTGTATTGTAACATAAACGTCTAACTTAATTATGTACCTAATTATATTAGCCGCTTAATGTAAAGACCAATAATAATTAGATGACTTACGTTTGTGTACCGTAAAGAAATTGCTGTCTAAATATAAGCAGATTTTAAAATTCTTCCTTACGCTCAAGAGGATATTCGAATTGTGTATAAACTAAGCAAATTATATGCAGACGATTTGCTGGTTTAAGTTATTGGTCTGAAAATCTAAATAAAGCATTAGTTTTATAATCTTTGAAAAAAAAATATTTGCTTAAACCGTTACTCACATGAGCTCCTAAGTCTGGCTTCACGACAGATGTATTTATAACGCCTCTGAGTAAAGAAAAAAAAAATGTATACTAGCTGCCATGATTTTGATTACATTTGTACTAATTTTTAATTTCAAAATAACTAACGTGGACAATCAAAGTAGAAATATAAAAATCGTCTCGCATAAGAATATCCTCTTATCATTTATAAACAGTACTTTCTTTAAAATGCAGCCCTTAACACATTTGGCGCTATTAGGTCGGCTGTTGTCAAAAGTATTCTTTATTGTTAGTTAATACTGTGTTCGATGTTAGGCGTTCGTTGTTAGATCGTGACTGTTTGGGCCGAGGTTCTGTATAGCTATACTTACCAGTAAACGCGTGACCACAAAAGTACAGATCTGAGTGATTTTGGCCGTGTTACTGTATCAGCCATACAGAATCAGCTGCCTAGCTGGTGCCGTGCAAACGGTTATTGAACCTTGTTCTATATGTAGGTGGTTACTAGTGTGTGATAACGGTTGACTTCCTTCTAAATAAAAGTCGATATATATATTCATAATTGCTGCCTTACCTGAGACTGCACCTAGTATTGGGGCACATTTTTAATGGTTGAGACACACACTCGATACTCACGTTCTACTCGAATACGTGTAATAAAGACTAATTAAAGAGCTGAGTAAATTGGAAAATAGTTTAGTGCCTTCGTTCGATACAAAGCATTCGTCGGTTCTTTAGGTGAATGTTTGATATTGTATGTTCAGAGATTAATAGATATATTAACGTCACGCGTAAACGCATAATCTTGTCATATTCGTAACTAGGTGATCGTATAAGATGAGAAATGAATCTCAAATGAAATCTCATCTAGAGAAGAATACAAGAAACATCGTCACTTCAACATGTGTGTGTAATAAATATTTTATATTAAATAGTTGCGTTTGTAAATGTAAAAAAGCGTGTATGCGTGACGCATACATAGATTGAGCTACCTTCCATAGTATGACTGTGAATTGTGTGTGGAAATTAAATAGATGCCTAACACATTCCTTTTCATTTCAAGTACAAATTAATGTTTAGAACTTCAGTGAATAAAGTGAAAAACTTAAACTCTAATATTAATAATACTATTAAGTGTGTGTGACCAATAATCTCATTTATATTTAATTTACTATTATAATTAGTGTTAACAATTAAATGCAATGTTCATAAGGAGACATGGATGCCCTAGCTTATGTCGGGTATTGTCAATTTGTTGTCCTTTTTGCTGAAATACAAGTGCCTCGAACGTGATGTCGAGTGTGTCGACCTTCGCACTCTTCGTGGATATTATGATTCCTAAAAGATTCAACTATTTTTACTATCGTTTCTAGTTTTGTACATAGAAACAAAATATATATATATATTTCTATAACGATATGATTGTTATGTGTACAGTAGGATATTTTTATATGAAACAAATCTTTGTGTAAATAACTCTATGTTCTAAGACTGTTGTTTATTTTAGAGCCTTTAATTTGTTCAGTTAAATTACGTAATAGGGTATTGTGATGAACATGTATTTTCCAGTCATTTTATTATCAAGCCGATCATGTTCAAATAGTTTGTTCTACTGTCTTGCCATGCATGTGAAAGCCTCTTCACTATAATCAAGTTGTAGTGTCCGGCGGGGAGCCCCTCGCCAGAGGGAGGAGGGAGGAGGGAGGCGTGACGCGTGAGATGCTTCTGAGCTGATTCTGTCGCTATGAAAATCTCTTTAGTCTGTTAGCAACTGGCTCACTGACGCCATTAAATTATTGTACTTACTCTTAATCGTTTGTTGTCTATTGGCGGTATTAATTAATTAGTTTTTTTTAATTTAAACTAGTCTTTCCAACGAAACGTAACATTAACGTAACGTAACGTTTGTTATTATGAAAATGAATATTTTAACATAGAGGTAATCGACCTATCAATGTATGCGAACTGTTTCCGTTGCTTTCTCCACTATTTTATAATGGTAATCCAAATACTTAAACTAATATTATGCATTTATGTTTTGTGATATTTGTCAAAACAAAAAACTCTTATAGTGGCGATATAAATATAAGCACGGCAATGACTAGAAAATACATCATATAGATGTGTTGTTTTATAATAATAACAAATTATTTAATTTCATTACAAATTTTGTTTTATTTACTTCCTATATTTAACATTCCATAAACATTTTTAATTCTGCTGTTCAGACTTCTCGCTACAAGCGTAAACACTGTAATTTACATTCTATCAAAGAATTCCACATGCAATAATTTCTTCAGTAGCACATACAATTTTAAAAGTTAACGTTAGCTCTATCACATATTATACAAAAGAAAAAATTTAAACCATTATAGGTCACAAGTTATCGCCCGTCCGAAACCAAGATACACCATCCATTAAAAGAAAATATTTTAAAAAGACTTGTCCGTTTACTTCTAGTGATCATCACACAAAAGAGGTGGTTCACAGTGCATAGGGGGGGTGGAGAAATCATGTATGCTACTGTGCCAGAGACAGACTGTCCGACTTATAGGTTACAGATGCATCTTCGGTGTGAAGTGTATGGTGTTTATGTACTGCTCTGAATACTACAATATTGTTATTAAATACATACTACAATAACTTAAGATCAGATACAGTATACATTTAAATTAGATAGGTATGTACTTTTTTTTTACATTTGGAAAGATGTAGAAGTGGCGGACCTCACGGGGCCCTTCATCAATGGGTGAAACGCCATGCAGTCAACAAGCGCAGCTTTTGGGCGCCCGTCGGGTCCGAGGGCATCCTCGAAATACACACAAGAGATGAACCGTGAATAATTAGTATGAAAACTCTGACATGAAGTTTCTACTTTGTACTTTTTTATTTATTTCAAATTTGATTACAATATTTGACTTTGTAAAAAAATCCTTGTTATAAATATAGCAAAATGTTTCGGCTAGAAAAGGGTTTTATAGCTACCATATTATTATTATTATTATTAGACAATAAATAACAATGGATTGAGTTACATATACGGCTTCCAAACTCTTAAGTAATCTATAACAAAACTATTTAATTCAAAAGACACATTTCAGAAAGAGGTTTGTTTTAAAATCAAAAGATTTAATTTTGAAATAAAACGACGTGAGGGGTCCATTGACCCCCAATCGGAACGACGTTCCGCAAGAAGTGTCGGAAATAAGTCTTGTTATACATTTTTCGGTCTCGCTCCCATCCACTCAGTGTGTAACGCGCAATAAGGAACTTCGTTCCAATTATTTATAAAACACAATGGAAGCGATCGCTCTACCTACATGTACATTTTAGATACGTCAATATAATGATAAATATTATAAAGCTGAAGAGTTTGTTTTGTTTGTTTGTTTGTTTGTTTGTTTGAACGCGCTAATCTCAGGAACTACTGGTCCGATTTAAAAAATTCTTTCAGTGTTAGATAGCCCATTTATCGAGGAAGGCTATAGGCTATATATCATCACGCTAAGACCAATAGGAGCGGAGCACCAATGAAGAATGTTTCAAAAACGGAGAAAATTTATTACTGTTTCGAGACGCAGCCGAAGTTGCGCGGGTCAGCTAGTATAATGATAATCTTTTATACGGCAATCTGATCAACTAGGCAGAGCCTGTACCTATGGTAACCAGCCTGCTGATAAACATATATATTTCTAAATAATTACAAAAACATAGATAAATTACACCTAGACAGAACAAATGATCGTGCTCATCACACCAAATTTTTCCTGGGTGGGAATCGAACCCACGACCGCTAAGGCGAAGCCGTCATGTGTGTGTGATAAAATATATATATCGGTCGTGTGAAAATCGATTACATTTTCATTTTAGTTAAAAAGAAAACATCGACTTGCGATAGAAATGTTCAAATAGAAAAAAATACTATAAGTACATTATTTTTACTTGAACCTGGCTGCTTCGCAACAGTACATAATATATTTATATGTATATGTAGACACACAAATAGACAAGTTTACATTGTACTGACAATCATTGACTAGTGTCATCACAATTAAACATCTATTATCTAAACGCCAATAATAGTGACGGAAGAGACGAATGTGGATAATATTAATAACCTACAGTTCCACGTTGGTACATACTACAAGGTACTTGGAAAAATTATCATATTTCAAAAAGCGCCAAACGTAGAACCAGTCTGACTTATGTATTTATAAACTATATACAATATTTTTATTTATTCAGATGACGTTTATTCTAAATCATTACAAAAAGAAGATCCCGCGTAAACAAAGTTTAAGTAGGTTGAGCTTTTGTTTTTTAAAATGAGAATTTTATTTTTATATCACTAACCAGGTAAAGACATTAATAAGAAATTCCTAATACAGTAATTAGTTATACATATATAATCAAATTATCCTATACATTAGAGGATAACTGACTTTACAGAGCCCGTTAAGTAAATATTTTTTGTTCATTAGTACATACTCGCTTGCTTCATAACTTATAAACTCCTAATAATGTCTAAGTCATAAATACGAGCATATATATAATGTTAATCAATATTTATGATCATAAAATATTATCATAATGGGTATTTTTAATCTACATTTAAGTGGAAAATGAAACCATAAACAATACATGTCAAAATGACCTTCCGAGCCAAGGTATAATATATACATAATCATAATAAGGATACATAAACATATTATTTATTATCTACATTTTAATCAATTTCATAAGTCAAAAAATTTAATCCCCTAATGCGCCCTGAAGATATGGTAATTATTTCTTCCCAATTTCTTAAAAAACAAAATATTTTTTGAGAAGCAAAGGAGGAACTTGCACGTACGCAGATCTGAAGTAATTAAGAAGTAATAATTTGTGGCATAATGGACTAAAACATTAAAAATAAGAGTTCAACTGCGTATCAATAATATTGACAGCAAATAAAGTTTGGTATATAAGTAATTTCTATAAAATATCGTCTACCAACACACACAAGGCTTACTGGACGTTCCTTCAAGTAAGAAAAAGTGTGTGTATTCGGAGTTTCGTCTACTCCGTATGATAAAAAACCTTGTGGAAAACCCCCTATTTTTAAATATGACTATAGGTAATTGGTACACGTACAACCAGACCCACACTCGTTTGTCCAAACCGGCTACAAATTTTAATAATACATACTTACTTATAGCAGTATTAGTTAGTGAAAACATAAATAACAATCCCATGATCTTCAAGTATCTGTATGAATGTCTCAGAATGCTCAGATGATGCCTCAAAACGTTTTTATGTTTTTCATTCTGTAGGTACACACGAGTGTTTCGTCCGGAACATAAACAAACGAAGGCTATATACAAAATAAGGTACTTCACATCACCTAGGTCCAATTCTTTATTTTATTAAACATAAAGTATATAACAAATTACAGACACTCGCTTCAAAATTTTAATCTGTTAAAAATATTAATTTGTCTGGATGACGTACCTAAAACAATTGACTATTAAAAAATTCGTCTAACAAAACACCTGTCGATAAATTACTTTATTTTATATAAATTATATATAAAATAAAATCACAGTAAAAATTTTAGTAAAGCATTCACTACGTCTACACTAGGTTCGTTGACGAGAACTATATCAAATTTATTCAGATAATTATTAAGATTGCTTTCGTGGTGTCCAAGAAAGCCGATTTTAATGATAACGCTGCAGTGTTCCATGCCCTCTGCCATGCCGGCATCACCGATGTTATCACCCATGAGAATGACATTACAGCGCTGTTCAACCATCCCGTAGTACTCCGTGTTTTTAATAGCTGTCTCATTCTTGTTGTACGTGTGTATCACTTCGCCTTTAATGCCCACTATGTAGTCATCTTCATCCATAGCCAGGAAATTAGATACCACCTAAAATGCAAAATGTTTTAAATTAAACTCGTGCTTTGTAATGTCATGATAACTTCTTCAACAGACATCAGGCTTTTCAGAATATAAATCAAAGAATAGCAGTTAATTTGAATGTGGAACTATTTAAAAAAAAAACCTAAATGCTTTTATTACTACAATTTTAAATATCAACATCTTTTTTAAATAATTACGTGTACGCGTTTTTTGTGCAAAACCCAACAGTATAGATGGCGCCACCTATTTACCAAATATTAACTTATTAGTTTTTTTTCTGGAGATAAGGCATTTTGTCGCTGTAAAAAGTAGCCATGTGTTATTCTAGGTCATATTTTATTTGTGTACTAAATCTCATTCAAATCTATCCAAGAGTTTTAGCGTGAAGAATTAACAAACATACACACAGACACACACACAAACTTTCGTATTTACTATATTTGCGTGATTAGTCCGTAACTACATAAAATATATCCTTACGGCAGTGCGCGCAAACGGTTCGTGTATAGCATTTTCATAGTCATGATAACTTCGAAATTAAATGTTCATAATTAAATGATATCTGCTTAACAAATTGACCAATTTTAATGATGTAGAAATATCTACTTGAAATTGTCTCGGTGATGAAATACTTTAATTTCATAAGGATTCATATAATCACACGAAAAAATGCATCTAAAATATGTAGTGCATATTTAATAATTTTAAAAATATAAAAACACTTTTTATAGCTCAGCTGTTATAGATAGATACACCCCCTCGCGAACTTTTTTGTAGATCTTTTTTAGTCCTACAATTCATAAATTTTTAAGACAATTTTTTACACCGCTTGGTTAACATAACCTGTATTTTTTTGCACATGTCTAAGTTTTTTAGAAATAAATTATAGCCTATGTTACTTCCTGATAATGCAGCTTTCAACTTTTGAAAAAATTATCAAAATCGGTCCAGTAGTTTTGGAGCCTATTCTATACAAACATAAAATCCTTCCTCTTTATAATATTTGTAAATATTAAGTCCATACATCATTTTTGTAATGACTAATACGAGTATACACATTAAATGAGATAGGCATCAATCCAAATTGACTATTAGTTATTCAATATGCAGACAGAAAACACTATAGATGTTAAGTCTCCAATCGTAGTTTTCAGTAAAACCTGTAAAACCGAATCTGGAATCCTGGATCATGTTTTATATTGCTACGAGAGTGGCGTAGTGGTTTGTGTAACGGACTGCTATTCCAAAGGTCGCGGGTTCGATTCCCGCTCAAGTCAAACATTTGCGTGCATGAACATTTGATGTTTGATTTGGTCTGGGTGTTTCTATGTATAATATGTATGTATTTACAAAAAAAAAAGTATATATGTATTTATATCAGTTGTCTAGTACCCATAGCACAAGCTCTGCTTAGTTTGGGACTAGATGGCGTTGTGTGTATGTGGTAAAAAAAAAAAAAAAAAAAAAAAAAAAAAAAAAAAAAAAAAAAAAAACACGCATAACACCATCTATATAACACCATCTCAAGCAATAATAAATCTTTGACGATAAATTCACCTCTTCGTCATTCATGTATCTTTAATGGTTTTTCGAATGCGAAAGACCATTAAAGATACACGAAACCACTCTCCCAGTTGCATTTTACTAACTCCACGTTTGCAGTTAATTAAAATAAACTGGGAGAGGGGAGGGAAGAGTCCGATGAATCTTGGGGATTCCAGAGGTTCATAAAACCAGTTGCTACGGTTTATTGGCAAGTGCAAAACTGTGTGCGAGCACCGCGTTGTCTGATATAATAGGATCACATTTTATGACCCTATGACAGTTGTGAGATCGAAAGTTGATCGGAACTGAATTAAGACCGAACTATTATTATGAGAATTGGCCTTCGGATCTATAGATCAATAACGTATCCGAAACGTGTCAATAATGTATCCGAAAATTTCCCTCGTAGTCAGAAAACAAACATTCAAATGACTTTATATCAGCCATCTAATGAACCTGACCCTTAGTTAACGATAGCTCTATTCATTATTTACACACAGATTACTAAAACAAGCAGACTATTACGTAATGAACACAATGTTGCATCTTGTCGGTTTCACAAAACATCACGTTTTATTACTAAGCAATCCTTTGTGTTAGAAAGCTATTGGCAATACAGTACAAGGTTTTTTGAAAAGTTGATAAACAATGTAATGCAATTGTACCAAGTTTGTTTATTCTGAACTATATTCATTGCTACTTATTCTGGTCATATAGGTAAACGTGCTTTAGAAGATAATCCCACCTTTTTTCTTTTGTGCGGAAATCCCCTTGCATACCACCCACCGGCGCCGGTGAGCTCGTGTAAGGGCGCGCGCGCTCCGCACGGGGGTGATAGATGGCCTCACCTGTCACCCCCAGGCAAGATAATCCCAACTAATATTTTATATAACAAGGTGACTGCTTGTTTGTAACGTTTTCCCGCTAAAGTACTTAACCGATCACTCACATACCAATTTTGCTTATATACACGTTGTCAGGACTACTAAAAGGACATAAGATAGTTCTCATCCAAAAAAATCTGATAGACAAAAGTAAATAGACGTGAGCCGCGGGCAAAAGTTTTACATTGCAACTAGTCCAATATAACACAATGATTTAATTTTTATTTCAAAGTACATTACCACGAAGGCTATTTTACCTGATTTAGGTAAGAGCAATATGATCCACGTGATTATCTGTTTCTGTTAATCAGACTAAGTCATAAATAAAAATATACTCCTCGTAACAGTTTTTATTTTCTTTATTGGAAAACTTATATTGCCGCCACTAGGGGATCTCCCTATTTTTTATATCTCAAAAGCAGCTATAGTGATTTGAATCAAAATTTGTATTTAGATAAAGCTTAGATAAGGTTTGTCTATAGAGATATCTGAATGAACTACATTTTCTTCAAAGAAAAGGGCAAGCGAATATCGATCGTCCAGGTACTGAAATTTAATTGCACAACATAAATTCGTGTCATGAACTTAAATTTAAATATGTTCGGAATTTAAATCCCGCCTCATATTACATTCGCCATAACCGCTACAAAACTATTATTCTTAAATGTAAAAAAAATAATAAAAGCTACACATACCTTTACGTGAGGGAGTAAAAAGTTGGCAGCGGTCAAGGCGGCTACGACGGATTCACCGAGCCCGGCCGAGAACACCAGCACTGGGACCTGCTGGGCTTCGCACCATTTTATCATATCAGCTACACCTTCCCTAAGTAATAAATGTAGAAACATATACTTACATATAGAGAGTTTATAGCTATTTATTTTAAGTTTGTTGGTATGATGGAATACTTCTGCATCGAAAATAGATATTAGATATAGAGATTCCTTTAGAGGTCGTTAAAGTCGTATTGAAAACCTAGATTTGGCATATTTAACAATAACATACAATAGGGTCATACATTACACTTAGGGAATTGTTATGGTAGTTTTTTATGTTAGAGGGGGGGGGGGGGCAGACGGGGATAAACTTGAGATGTTGATAAGTTGAAACGGTAAGTAAGAGGCAGTGCAAGGCAAAGGATATTGCTTATGCAGAGATAGGTTACGGATGGTGTAGTGTTTTAAGCGGTCACCTCGCCGCTTCCTGCTGCGCTGAGTTCGATCCCCACATGGGACAACACTTTGTGTAATCCACAAATTATTGCCTGAGTGTTCTTTAAGTCCGTTCAAACAGACAGACAAAAAATATTGAAACTGGATTTTAGGCATAGGTATCGTGCGAATAACCATGTGGGAATGAAAAGAATCTATTATTTCGACATTACAAACAGACACTTCAATTTTATTTATTTGTATAGATTATACTGTTAGAGATAGACAGATATACTATTAGACAGATACAAAGCGTACAGCAATAAATCACAATGCATCCATAAATGCTGTATACAATTTATTTTATCAGGTTCATGACCGGCATTCAGGTCGATATTTCATATAATTCTTACTTTTTGTACGTATATGTATGATTGAGATAGGCCTCATTTAGTAGCATAGAATCATTTTTAAGTTATTTAGTCTCCCTAAACACTTTTTTTTTCCAAATTTACACAACGCCATCTAGTCCCAAACTAAGCTGAGCTTGTACTATGAGTACTAAACAACTGATATAAATACATATCAACACATATCATACATAGAAACACCCAGACCAAATCAAACATTAAATGTTCATGCTCACAAATGTTTGAATTAAGCGGGAATCGAACTCGCGACCTGTAAGTCTGTTACACAAACCACTACGCCATCCGGTCGTCGTCAGTCAGATAGTCACTTAGAAGTACACAAGTATTTAACATTTTGTATTGTTTTTATAAGTGAATGATAACCATATCTATACTAGAGTAGAGTCCATCTCAACAAGAACAAGAGGGGTCCATAGGTTGCTGGGAGCTTGAGTGCAGTCATTTATAAGAATGTAACTTAATATGCATAGCTGCTCCATCATTGAAGTAAATTTAACCAAGCCTAATTTCATACTAATAGAGATTTACATACCTAAAACATTCCACTATTTTCTTAGCAGAGTCCATCAATTCATGTCTTGGAAATTTTACTCCTCTGCAAAATAAAAATATTTTTTTTACATCTTATTCCAGGGAAAAGATTTGTAGAATTTCTATTTACATCAAAATTCATTTCTTTTTTATTTAAAAAAGACAACTGCATTAGGAATGTATCCCGTGTCGTCGGGTCTTTACAAACATACATGAAAGGGTCACCCAGACTCAGAACAACAATTTGTAGATCACACAAAGTGTCGTCCCTTGTGGGGTTTAAACCCACAACACTCGGCACTTAAACACCTACGCCATCCGTGTAGTCAAGGATAACCCACAGTAACCATTTTTATCTTCATCAGTCAGCCTGTGACCACGGCCGGTGCAACCTGGTCGAAACGTCAGGCAAACCAGAGGTATGTAATACCCTAAATAAGAGCTCGCGTTAATTCCCGTTAAATAATATTAATTATCATTTTTATCTTTTAAATATTACAAAAAAATATAGTAGTAAGCAGCACGGCGAGCGCTTAAACCACTACACCATCCGTGCAGTCAATTAGTGTAACACACAAAATTGCAGCCTTGCTGACTAATGAATACCGCAGTTTTACTATCCTATACAACATCATCATCATCAGCCTATCGCAGTCCACTGCTGGACTTAGGCTTCCTATACATGGTACCACAAAATTACCAACTGTGACCAATCAAAGGTTAGGTACCTTACAAATCTATTGTGACATCATCAATCAGAATATATTTATTGTAACTTATGTATGGCTTTCAAATAAGAGTTGGCTACTTTTACTGTCATTGTATGTTTCATGGTTGCCTGACTAGTTTTTCACTTGACATGAGCTCTTTTCAAGACGTGAAATCATCCTACAACTGTTAGTATGTTGGAGGTCAGATATCCTTGAATTTAACGCTTCACTAAAAGTATATTTCCTTAACAAATTAGGAACAACAATAATAATAATGATTCACTGATATTGTCAGTCAGAGCATGATGATAATGGGTGATTTATATGACTCATACATTATTATTATGCATATGTTATGCATATTAAAAAAAAGACCTTCAACACCTGCATCCTTGCATGCATGACATACGGCTGCGAATCATGGGCGATAACAGACAAGCAAAGAGAAAATCTGGCTAGTACACAAAGGTCAATGAAAAGTAACATGTTGGAACTTAGACTTAGTGATAAAATTAGAAATTCTGAAAAGAAGAAAAGGGTTTTATATTGGAACGAAGTTCTTTATCGCGCGTTGTGAAAGGGGGCTAGACGGAAAAAAATCTCACGAAAAATTGGAACGACACTTTTTAAGTCAGTCATTCAGCGCCATCTATCGAATAGATAGGAAATCATTACTTTTCATCTATGTATTTATTTTGAATTGTCACTTGTCAGTCATTCAGCGCCATCTATAGAATAGATAGGATAGATTTTATCAATGTATAAATTGTTTTAATTAGAAACCAACTGAAAAATATGTAGGTAATAGCCGCTTTCATAGATGGCGTTGTAATTAAAATCGTGTCGAATCAGTTTTACTCGATCGTCACAACTTCGTTCCTATCGGGTGTCCCACTACACCACACGGCTTTTTATAAATATGAATAGTAATAAATACTTGTATTTCTTTTATGTGGCTTACTTGAGAATTGCATGTGCAGCTGTGTACCAATCTATCATATGCTGGGTCTTCTCCTCTACAGACATCTTTGGGTCAGCCTCAATCGGCTTGTATTTGCTTGCCAGCCTATTATCTTCATCCTTGTAATATTGTGGTATTGAGGGGCACTCACGAAACAAACCTTTAATTCAAATGAGTATGTTTTAATATATATGTATATTGTTTTCTTTTTTAATTTTTTTTTTTTATTTGTGGAGACAAATTTAAATATATAAAAAAATAAACTTACCAAAACTAGTGAGCACTATTTTGCCATTGTCCATTTTATGTCTGGTAAGAGTATGATCAAAGTCTGTTACTATCTGTAACTTGCTGTGTCCATCTTCAATCATTTTATTAATTTTTTCTAAAAGTTCCTCTTCATCCCTGATATGAACATTATCTCGTTGCAGGTCCGGTATGTCTTTTATACTCGACAGTAATTTCATTGTTGTAGATTTTTTAAATACCCTAAAATGAATATCTGATTAACTTCCTGCTGAGATATTTTTCTTATTTTCTGTCTCGATCTATGATAGTTGGCATATGGTACTTAAAAGATAGAAAACGACTCATTTAAATATTGACAAAAATAGTATATATTACCCGTTGAAAATGATAATTTAGAGATCCAGCAATTTAACACTTCTAATAATTTATTTGGCGTATTGACGATCAAAATAGGCGACACAACCCACGTACGACCTTGATAATGTTGAGAAGAAAACTGTCATGTGTCAGTTGTCACTGATACCCTCGCTCCCCTCTCGTCAAAATTCAGTGTCACATATATATTTGTCAGCTGATTGTCATTCCGTTTAAAAAGTAGCTTTGAGTGTTGGAAGATTAACTCACAGAAAGAACATAAGCGTGGCTAGTCATAATTCTGTAAAAATGCCAACTAAATTTTTGTGTTCTTTCGAACTATAAAACGTACATGTCAATTTTTGAAAAAAAAACAAAACAAGTCTTGATTTCACGTAGTCGGGCGACGTGAAAATGAATGTAATTATAAAAAAACGTAGACCCGATCTGCCGATTAATCCATACATAATACAAGCTCAGTGTAGTTTCATAGGCTACTTTAACACTTCAGAAACAGTGTATTGTTAAAAGGGAAATTCTCGCGGAACATCATAACATAAGGAAATGATGATGTTTTTAGTGTTCCGTACCTCTAAAGGTAGAAAAGGAACCTTTATAAGATCACTTTCTTGTCCGTCTGTCCGTGTGTCACCACCTATTTTCTCAGGAACGGGTAGACCAATCAAGTTGAAATTTATACCAGATACTGAGGTCTATGGTCCCTATTAAGTGTATAAAAATCAAGGTCTTGGGTCAACACGATAAAAGATATGGGCAAATTTCGATTTTCGTGAAAACTTGTAAGTACCAAAATTTATCCTAATTGTCAACTTTTTTTATGTTTTGGAATAAGAGCAGCTAAGAGAAAAGTCTTCAACTCGTGTGTCTTGCCTTGCCTAACGTACGGGAGCCAAACGTGGGCTCTAAATCAAAAAATATTTTAAAACTGAGATCGTGTCAGCGGGGAATGGAGAGAAGCATGATTGGTGTCACTGAAAAATATCGTTTAAGAGCAGTTGAAATACGATCCAGAACCAAAGTAGAGCAAAAGGAAAAGGGGAAGACAGGCAAAGTGATGAATAGACGACGTAAGAAAAATTGGAGGCGCTACTTGCTTTAGAAAGGCTAGAGACAGAAATGAGTGGAAACATTTCTGGAAGAGGCCTGTGTCACAGGATACGCTGATCACTAGACCGGAAAATCTGATGTGTTCAGAGATTTAAGTTCTTTTTATACCATTAGATTATACTTGTGTTTAGTTCTTCAGCAATAAAGGCTTGATAATAAAAAAAAAGAATGTAACATATATCATTAGAAGTGGTGGGTAAGCGAGAAGTTATCTTAGTTGTTGTTTTACACTATAGAGGTCTATTACTAGTGTAAAAACTTATTCTTCGTCCCATTCGATTTTGTTTTAGTTAACGAAAACACTGATTCACCACGTCGGCCGGCGGGCAACTAAGGCCCGGGGTTCTCTGAACGTCGGTCACGTGCGACCGACGACCGACGCGTGTCTGCCGCCGGTATGCGAATGCTATGTACGGAAATGCTCAGCGCTGGGTTCTCAGAAACGTCGCCGGCGGCCGACAGTGCGAGCGGACAAGGTCGCACGCCGCATGCGTCGGTTGGTATCATATTTGTAGCATAGCAACGCGACGGGCGCACGCCGGGGCATCCTGGCTTTAAAATGAGTTTTAATAAAGGAAAATAAATTGTTAATTATTTTTAATAATAATAAAAAAATATATAATACTATCTTGGTCGATGCATCTAATGTGATGCAGATACTACTAATGTGGAGTCATTAATTATACTTTTATTATGATAGGATAATAATATAGTATATCTTTATATAATGCAATATTTATACGTACGGCCCGAAGCGGCGACGGCCGCTTTGCAACCGCATTTTAAACCTCTAATATCTTCTAAAATATTCATTTTAATGATATGCTGTATAGAACGTATGTAAAGTATTTAATTGGATAAGGAACAATAATGTATTGTTTAAAACAGCTTCTTACTGTGGGCTATCCTGAGGAGATAGATATACACCATAGCGCGTTTAAACATTTTTTTGCGACAAATCTTTGAAATTCTCATTTTCTCTACTATAATTCGCATGTATTATACCTAAAGATAAACCTTCCTCCTGAAGCACCCTCTCTATTGGTGAAAATGTTATAAAAATCATCAACAGGTTATGTAATCAAGTATATTGTGCAAGTCATCATTGATTTATTTAACAAATACAATATATCATTAAGTCAGCATTGATTATGGTGGACGTTTACACTTTCATGGAAAAATTATGATCATTTCCGCTGTCCTTTACATCCGCAAAAATTGTGTAGGAAATATTTTTAAATAAAAATCACAAACATTTTAAAATATTCATATATTTAAATTTATTTTTGTATTTTTTTCTTGCTCTTCAGTATCACAAAAGTATACAAGATTTACATAGATTACATTTATACATTTATCTATATGAAAGTGTGTAAGTATATGTTTAAAATTATTTAGTACAAAATTATTATTTCCAACTTAACACCACAAATAAAGGTACGGTCATGAGGGTAGTCGAAATATTTTGTGATGATTTCTAATGTGTGGCAAGAGAAGATGATCCGAATTCTTAGTATATTCGACGGTTAGTTCCACCAAATCACTCCACCGTCGAATATTATAAACTCAAGAGAACTACATACACGACTACCTCATAGACTTTAATTGGTTGTGAGGTGATTATCCCAATTAAGAATAGGTACATATATTATATAGACATTTACATGATGTGATAATAACTAAATCCTATTTGGCTCTCCTGAAAAGTGTTTCTGAATCGTAATGAAGTCGAAATTTTGATATTCAGTCTCAATACTACAATATTTAACATTCAGCTTTAGGCGCAGGGTTCTCTGAACCCTCATACGCGGCCGACGACGCGACGTATGGAAACGCGTCGGCCAGAAGAGCACCACCCTCACCACACCACCGACGTTGTTTCTAAGAACCCAGCGCTGAACATTTCCGTACATAGCATTCGTACGCTACCGGCTGCGGACACGCGCCGGCCGCCCGTCACGTTTGACAGTCGGTCAGAGAATCCCACGTCTTATAAATAACTTCGCATAGAAACTATCCATTGTACAAGTTTCGAATCATGTGTTTTACGATACCATATTTAAATACACATGAATTAACGGTCCATATTTATGTCTTAAAATTATTTTAATATTGATGAACACTTGTTTTCTGCGATTATTTCCTTGACATGATATTGATATCTTGCTACAGTTATGAACTACATGAAAATAGTATTTCTACCAGATATTTTAAAGTTCGATTCAAATTAAACGATAAAAAATTATGAAAATTTACTTAAAGAAAGACAGCCTAAATCATTAATTTTAGTGTTGCAATATTATGCAGGTAATCCTTTGAAGGACTTAAATATAATATTGTAGTGATATACATTAGAACTTTATCATAAGACTCCCTTATTAACAGAACATTTTATAGGCGGGGACGCAACTGATTCTCGCTAAGGCTGTCGCAAGCACCTATCTCTCTCTCTTTCTGTCTGTGAGCTCTCTATTTCCTTTTTTGTAATAAGAACATGTATAGAAACGATTCTAACTACTTAAATCATTGATACAAATTACCTGATAATTTCGAAAATAAACATTTTACATAATTGTAATAACATAAACATTAAGATATTGTTATCATAGTAACTTAAAACTTAATAATTAAAGCAGATTAGACACTAAAAGCTTGTCACCGCCGTCTTTTCGATAAAATATAAAAGAGCCAGATAAAGCATTGCGGTTGGCAACCACAGTCACATTGCATTCCCCTAAAATGCTTGTGATAACGGAGTCTTACATCATACAACAGAGTAAAACAACATAATTTAAAACATTCATGTTTCAAAGTCGCTCATTTGTAACATTGCAGTATGAAAAAGGTAAACATCATATTATCACTTACAACAAACATTTTTATGTAAAACAAATAAAAACGTATCTTATGTACAAACCGAAACATAATTTATATAAATAAATTATTTTCTTAAACTAATATCTAAAAGTAAGTATATTTGTGAAAGTGTGCTTTCACAACCATTGTAACAATTGTAGAGAAAAAGAAAAAGGAATTCATGACAGAGTTTAATTGATAGATATGTAACCAGTATAGAATGCAGGTGATGATGATGAAGTTGCCAATCATTGGTCATCACCTTAACGACATTGAGTGATGACAAATTTGTGCTTAACCTATCTACTTCTCTTTCTTGGTTGAAAACATCATCATCATCATCGAACCTTTGCTGCTATGTATGCTAAACATGCACACTTTACATATTATGTTACAAAAGCAGTCAGCCTGTTATTTATATTTGTAAACAATTGATCTCAATCGACTCGAGCATTTAGTTGGAAGGGTTAATGAAAATAGAAGTAATAAGTTAATCAGTTTAGACTTTAATAACAAAAAAAAATGAAAATCATTAACAGGGAAACATAGAATTGCTGATTCCTATTGCAAGTTATGGTTTTACAATATTATTTTATTTACATGGTATTTAAAAAAAAACTGACATATCAGTATATATTGACAGTCTTTTAAGATTAATGCGACATACCTTTTTGATTCCTATTACCATTTGCCTTTACCAGCCATCCTCACATCACTTCATGGGACAAATTACAAAAATTCTGCAAAGCTAAAACTTGTTAAATACAAAAATGTATTCGAACACGCACTCATTGTATTTCACGACGACAAAAAGCAGAGAGAAAGAAAAAATAATATATAAAAAAACTAGCTATAACAACCCAAAAAACTGAATCATTGTTTACGAAATACTAAGTAATGTACAAGGTAACTAACGTGTACAGTTATTGGGAGACAATCGCATACAATATTCAACTGTTTATCAATTGACAGTACCGATTGGCAATGATTGACTTGTAAAACTTATGTATATTCAACCTTGTAGGCCGTGTATCGCAAGTGACTGCCTCCCAACACTAAGATTGGTCCGTTAAACATAGCTAATTGATCAATCATCATCATCACTGATGCGCCCCCGTTTCTTCGCCCTCTTCTTTTCCATTGCCTCCATTCTCATATCTTCCAAGTCTTCCATAATACCTGAAAGTAATAAACGAATTGATGAAAACCCGAGTTTCTGGCAATTGAATGTTTTTATTGGCCGCCAATAAAAATGGTCGAGCAGAGGCATTCACTGCCTGATGATAAGTGCGATGGCCAAGCAGCGAATCCAACAAATTCGAAAAACTTAGTAGATAGGCCAAAGACCTATCCTGTTGCCCAAAGATTTGCTAAGTGAATTTATGAAGTAAGATTATTTTTGTGCTCAGTAAGAGACGTCTCAAGGCTGAGCCAAATAGCTTTTTTGAAATTATGAGTAACTCTTTTCAAATTTATATAAAGGGAGATTAAAAATGACATAGCATACCAAGTTTTTTACTGATGTATTCTTCCCGCTGCTGTTGCGCGAAACTAGACTCCATCCTGGGGTCGTCATCATCGTCAATGTACCTGTACCTGAACACAAAATAACATTAATTAATAACAAATTTAAAGAGGTAAAGTTTGTAAGTCAAAAACACTTTCGGCGTTTAGCAAAAATCTGGATACTTACTTCGATTTATCATATCCAAATATTTCTTTGATGTGTCTGGAGTAGTCCATTTCATCATCACCATCATCAATGAAATCATCCAACTCAGAGTCATATTCGGAGTCTAAGTCCACTGGGCGACCTGGAATTAAAAGAAAACAATTTTAAACTGGGGTCCTATTTCTAGGACGTATTAATTTATTACCTATTCAGATTAAGGACTACACCTGAAAGCAGTTATTGGGTATCCAGCATTATTCTAAAGAATCTTAAAATAAATTAAATGTGCAACGAAATACTCTACAATCTCTCTTCCATTTAGCGTGTCTTATCTATCCCTCAAATAATAGTTCTTGTAATTTTTTAAACATCATCGTTTTAAAATATCATTTATGTATATGCCTAAAATACTTGTGATAATGGAGTCATGCCAACCTTTCTTCGACGCATAAAGGACTATTCTGGAGTCTAAATGCGGAAACTAAAGCCTACAACTAATACCAATACCGATCATATTTATGCTCTTTGTATTTATGTTCGTAGCTCCAGTGGTCCAGTCCAGTCCAAAAATACTTTATTCTGTGGGAGAGCCATGCAGCATATTTGGGACCAGGACCGCAGATAATAGCTCGAATAAAGGAATACAAAATTAAAGGGGAAGTGCGGCAACGTACTTGTGTGCAGGTGTTTATGGGCGGTTGTAATCACTTACTATCAGATAACCCATCTGCTGGTTTGCTCCTTATACCATAAAAAAAGTGTGTGTGTCAGTTCGGACGTACGACGTTTACGTGTTAAGAACGATTCGCTTGCACACAAGTATACAAGTTACTTACACACACACACACATACAGTAACGAGGTCATTCAAACACTAAATTTTACTCTCCCTAATTTTTCATACGTGGCAGGCGCGAAAAATCGTGAAAAAAATTAAATCGTGAAAATCTTAAGGAGTAAACTCCAAAAAACCTTACATCGGTCCGACAGCAAAATTATCTATCATAGGGTTAATGTGGTTAATTATCATAAAATTTAAACCTAAAGGCAATATTAAATATCACTGCTATTTTAATTAAACAGCTTTGTATCCTTACATAGTTACTTACGACAATCGACTTAGTATACACACAAGTTCAACACAATTATATGTATAAAAAACTTACGATTTGGTTTTTTTCCATTCTGTTGACCTTTTCTCCTAACATCACCAGGGGGGAATTGACGAGTTCCATCAGATTTTCTTGCACCATTTCTGCCAATGGAGTTAACATGTTTGTCAAAGTCGAAACTGTTAGAAATCTTCGGTTTACTAGAACCAGCTTTATCACTTGGAATAGTCTTTCTATCATCAGGTCTTTTTGAAGGCACGGATTTTCCATTTGACAGTCTTTTATCATTACTTTTTAGAGATCCATCACCAAAGGATGTTTTCTGTTTTCCTAATACAGTTTTATCTTTAATACCATTTGGTTGAGCAGTGTGTTCCTTTGATCTCGGCACGAGTTTGCCTTGACTGCTATTCCCATTTATGTATTTTCCATCACTATTCTTACTTGGTATAGTGAATTTCTTTTCATTAGAATTTTTATCTATCCTATATGTGTTTTGGCTTTTTAAATCTATACTTTTCTTAATATCTTGTTTGATTGATTCTTTGGAATTTAACTTTGATCTATCTATTGATTTGTCAACAGTTTTAGGCTTCTCAGATATCTTGCTGCTACTCTCGAGCTTTGATTTTGCTTTCTCTAACCTCTCTCTATCTCGATTCAGTCTGTCTATATCTCTTTCTATTCTCTCTCTTTCTGCTTTCAATTTGTCGAGTCTCTCTCTTTCTAATCGTTCTTTTTCACGTTCAGCTTTGTCTCTATCTGTTCTCGCCCTCTCCTTTTCCCTCTGCAATTTTTCAATTTTTTCTCTTTCTTCTCTCTGCAATTTTTCTAGTTTTCCTCGTTCACTTCTTTCTCTGTCTGGCCTTGGACTATCATGTCTGGAACTACTTAGTTTGTCTGATACTTTGGGAATGCGACCTAAACCAGGGGCACTTTCTGATTTGTGTTCCCTTTCTTCTCTCGGTCTATCGTCGCGTTGGGCTGAAAGAAAAATAAATAAAATCAACTTTTAAGTTGATGCACAAGTCGAATATACCAAGAGGTTAGCGCTTGTCATTACACCTAAATGCTCCCGATCGTCACCTCAAACCCCGACTGCATGCAATTCTCGTGTATTATACCAAAATATATTGAAAGTATGTTTGCAGAATTGTTTTTTTTTTTAATAAAAAGTATAATTAAGTAACACCCTTTCCGACATGCAATCACAATTTTGAGTGGTAAAATTATGATCAATTTAGTTGGTTTGGTTTTGGTCACCATATAACTATAGCTGTTTTAATATACAAAATTAGATATGAACATATACACGGTGATTTTGAAAGCGTTTTGGAAACGAAATATTTGAATTTGGAATCATCTATAGTACCAATAAAAATGATTAAATCAATTGTAATGTTGTCTAAAAAAAAGTTTCAGTTTTAATATTCATTTTTACTCGATCGACTTGGAAAGTAGTAATGGACTGATCGTTCATTCATTATCTTATATGAATGAAACACGTCCGTGGGCGTTTCGGCGGCCGCTGCGCATCGCCGACGCTAACAGCAGCTGACAAAACTATACCTATAGGCGCGAGCTAGCGAGTACTTACGTAGATAGACTCCAATTTGTCCTTCATACTTTACACGGGCTTAGGACCGTCAGAAATACCTATTTTATTTAAACTTCTTTTCGATTATCAACCACGATTGTTCTTTTCACAACAAATCAATTTATCAACGGACTGTAGGTATAAATATTTCAGGCGTATTTAAAAAATCGGAGCTATCTACAGAATAATTAACTTACATACCTATTTACACTATTTACAGTTCTCTGTATCGAAGGAACTGCTCAAAATGGAGTCCGCTGCATTCAATACACAAACGTCCACGTTTAATGCAATTGTTTTTTAATTTTCTTAATGTGTCTCTATCACTTTTCACTTTAAAGCGTCCACTATCGCAATGCGTAAATTATCACGGCTTTCATATTCCCGTGTATTAACAAGTCTTTTTATTTCCGACCATAAGAAAAATCCAGGGGCGTTAAGTCCGATCACTAAGCTCATTGTCCAGGTATGCACGCACTACACTCCGGCGAATAATAATTAAAACGTCCTTGACCTTGCGCATGAGTAGGCGCACGAAATTGTCCGTGGTCGAGAAGACGTTGGGTTGCAGCCAAGATGGTAGGTGTGGAGGGAATTTGAGGGCTTTCAATTCCACGTAGCCGTAGTGCATTTAAATGCTCCGGCTTGGGAATACAAACGCCGAGCCTCTTCCAAGTTGTAGTTGGCAGTAGCGTACAGCTGTACCATTGCCAAGAAGTATTCCACGTTTGAAAATTCGTACTGTCGACTCATTTTAGCGCTAATCAATGCAGCGTGCCGTCACGATGTTATGGTATTACTGACCGACTGACGATGACAGGTGAGCCCCGCGCATGCGCCTACGGGGCAGACGTCATTGGTTGGACGACTCCGGCGCAACTCGGTAGCTTTGTTTTTATTGGCGAATACGATTTGATGTGACTCGATATTAAAACGCATAGTATTTCTATTCGTAGTATTTACCTACGTGTGATTGAATAGCCTACTACTACTGGTTCTGACTTTTTCTCTGTAAACGATATGAATATCGACTTTGATGAAAAAAAAAAAATATATTTTATTAAATTAACGTTATATATAGCTTCTGTTACTGATAAATAACTCAAAATTTTCTTTTCCAAAACGCTTTCAAAATCACCGTGTATAATAAAATAAACTTATTCCATTCAATGTCTACCTAAAAGTAACTTATACGGACATTTATGTCCTCTCACAGATCCCAATGAGACATAAGAGTGAGAGTCCCAATGAGAGTGCATAAGTAGTAACCAATAAGTGGTATGTCTGTTGTTCACTATTGTGTAATAGCCACCTCAAAACTCCATCCAGTAGATAAGAAAGGCCTCACAACACGAATGCATATGAATATAACATGTTTCTTGAAAAACTTACGTCTTTTACCACCGCCCTTTTCTGCGTCTATTCTCTCCTGTCGACGTTGACGACGAGCCATCTCTTCCTCATAATCTCTCTTCTGTTTTTTAGTCATAGGCCTTTCAGATTCAGTCTCGACAGCAACCTTCTTTTGTCCAATCTCTACAGGCTCACTTTTCTTCTGTTCAGCTATCTTCAACAGTTGGTTAAAGTCAATTGGTGGTGGCATTGGCTTCCGTATTTTTGGCTTCTCGGGTTTTGAATCTTTTTTGTCTTTCTCTGGTTCATATCTTCCAGGTGGACTAGATTCTCGCTCTAAAAACAATTTTAATATTGTCATAAGTGTTGCCTCGAAATTAATACAAATGTGGATTTATTTAAATACAAAAAAAAAATACCTCCGTTTTCCCCTTTCCTGCGTCTCTTATGTGGCACAGGATCATCTTCATGTTTCAAGGCGTGTTTCACTCTCTCCCGAGTCCCATTAAGATCTCTTTTTGTTGCGTTATCTAGAAATGAACAAGCACATTACGAATTATACCTTAATTACCCATAATATTTATTAATCATAATTACTTTACTGTTTTTTTAATCCCTGCTATTCATTTAGAAGTTTTACAAATTATACCATAATTAATAATCAACATAATTTTCTTTTATCATTATTATTTAACTATTTTGTTAATCCCTCCTATTAATTTCCAAATTGTACCTTAATTATTCATTAATCATAATTATTTAACTATTTTGTTAATCCCTCCTATTAATTTTCAAATTATACCTTAATTATTCATTAACAAATTATTCATTAATCATAATTATTTAACTATTTTGTTAATCCCTCCTATTAATTTCCAAATTATACCTTAATTATTCATTAACAAATTATTCATTAATCGTAATTAGGTAATTGCTTGGTAACCCCTGTTATTCATTTGCACCTATATTAATTCATGTCCTTCAATTCCCGGGTGAAGCAAATTGCTACCATTACGGTCCGTATGAAATTTTCAGTATCATCATGTCAAAAGGTTTAAGGTCTTGGTGATTGAGCACAAGGCAGACCACCCATTATAGAGGATTGGTTAGAGAGGTGACATGGTAGCCTCTCCTATGTTGATGGAAGCAGTCACAGGATATGGCTGTATCAGCAAGTACCTGTATAGTATAGGCCAGGACTAACATCTATATGCGAGTACTGAGTACTAATAGTTAAAAGAAATAAAATTGTCTTATTCATCATAAAATGGACATAAGACTGAAACAAAAATTTATGTTTATCATGATTTTTTTTAATTGTTTAATCAAATATTGAACTCAATGCAATTTAAATATTTGATTTAATACAATATGGAATATTTTATAATGATACTAAAAAAGAACCTAATTTGACTTGACAGTATGTATAATGGTGTGTTTCACAGGCAGCAATGAAAGAACTAAAAATTCCATCATACTGCTGGGTACTCCTCTGATTGAATAAAGGGCATAAATTTGCAGATAAGCTGGCCAAAAAGGGTTCGTAACACCACACTACTAAAACTATCCTTAGCAGCTAGACATCTGAATTGTTATAAGAACTATTATAGGACATCAATTGATAGCTATTTACCATAAATACAGTAGACAGCAGACATCTGACCCTATGTAGAGGATGTCTCGATCAGAGGAAACAGCCACCTACATATCCTGGAGTATTAGGGAGCTGCCACACAGTACCCGAGTATCTTTCCTAATACATTTATTTCGTAGACTTTGCAAGTTCGCAATTATATGCAAACAGAACTGCTTTTAGAGATAAACACCTATCCATGAATAAGTTAAACAACCAAAGTTACACTACACAGTCTTGTCACACACTCTTAGAGATGACCAAATCCAATAAACATAGACACTATTTTATTTAGGCAACCACAGCGGTTTACTTAAGAATATCTGTGATAATAAGTAAACTAAATTAAATGTAATACAAAAGGACTTAATAGCCTCAATTAGTATTCACTGTATATGTTACTGATCTTAAATTTAGATTTATGTAAATGACAAAAAACATTTTACAAAACAGAAGTTCAAGTAGCATTAAATTAAAACCATTTTCTGTTATTTCTCTATAAAGGATAAAAAGATTATAACTTACACTGACTAACATATACCTACTTCTAAAGAAATGTTTATTTTTCAATTACATATATTTGTACAAATTACCATGCATACATTACTATAAAATTCTAATTAGATATTTTAAATCATTCTAACCCAGCACATAGACCAATAGCTTTCATTGCCTTGTAACATAATTGATAATACACTAAAAACACTTACTTCCAGTAGGAAATTTCGGCTCATCTGGAATCTTGCTATATTTTTCCATCATCTTTTGATAAAGAGCGGCTGCCTCTTGCGACTCATAGCCATAATCATCTTGGTCTGGCTGATCAGGACCTTCTCTTGTAACAGCAGTGTTATCTCTGTCTATTGCATCTGCAAGCACAGATTTGTTTGCAGATTTGATAACTTTTAAAGTTTTCTGGATCTTTCTTAAGGCTTTTGGATCTCGCATAGCCAGTAATTCATCCCTCTTTTTCAATGCCTCCAACTTCCTTTGTTTTTCTTCTTCATCTTTCTTTGCTAAAAACTTTTGGATGTTTGCTGATAGCTTGTCTCTTTGCTTCTGTTCCTTCTTGGGTGGATCGAAGCGTGCTTTGTAATAAAGACTTTCCTGAAAATGAAAAATACCACGTTATTGAACAAAAACAAGGTCTTCATTTTACGATACGATATCCTGAGAATCACACTAGACCTTCAACCAAACCAAAACCAAAATATTATAATACGATATCGCAAACACAGTTTTGACATAAAATAAGTCAATGTATAAAAAATTAAGGATATAATATTCCATAAAATAGTTAATGGACTCACAGATGACTTTTGTTGTTGATTTCGTTGAGCTGCTAACAACGTTTCGCGAAATTCCATTTTATCGCAATTCCGTACTGATGCCGAGATAAAACTTCAACTAGATTGCAAACATTTCAAAATTTTCACAAATTATTTATACTTTTTCGTAAAATACGTGTCAGCCTCAATCCTCATATACAATCCCACCATTTGCTGGAAACGTACTGACGACTGACGTACCGACTGGATAATGATGTCGTTTTAGTGTTACTAATACTAACTAATGACAAGTGATGTCCACTACATCGAAAGATTTTAGTTTATGGAAAATTATAAATAAGTAAAAATATTTTTTTAGTTTATAAAAATAAAGCTAAAAAACAACAAGAAAAGGAAAACAACAAGGAAACAAAAAGAGAGGATCTTAGAGAATTTTTGTTAAAATTCTTAATTGTTTTTTTTCTAGTCGTCATTAAATGTCAGTTTTGGAAAGTTTACTTGGCAACACCGTGTCCTGATCTTCCTTTTTAAAACTTGACGGAAGACTGAAATATGGTTCGTGTTGGTTTTATAAAATTTAATCACAAATATTAATTGCAATCTTTAACTATTCTTGTAAAATGTTTTGTGTTTGATGTGATTCAAGTGATCAGAGTGTTATATAGAGTTATATTTATGATGGAGACATTGAATACTTGTTCTAAATTTTATTTGTTGTTACGCTGCAGGCCACCTCCAAGAAGAAGACCAGGAAGTTGAGAGGACACGTGAGCCATGGCCACGGACGTATCGGTAAGTTTATTAAATCTGTTATAATTTAAATTATCCCAGCAAGTTATCAAAACATGCCGAAAATATTTGATACATAACCTATAACGAATGACTTACAAACTAACTTAATGTTATTGCTTTCCTTATCCGCACTAACAGCTTTATTCTATACCAGCATTAAACTTGAAACGTATGCAAAAGAAAAGAACAAGGAAATAAACTCACCTTTAAAAGACATTGTTGGGTTAACAACATGTTCCTCAGTTTGAAATAACATGCAATACGTACAAGTATATTTGTGTTATTTTCCAGGTAAGCACCGCAAGCATCCGGGAGGTCGCGGTAACGCTGGTGGTGAACACCATCACCGAATCAATATGGACAAATACCATCCTGGTTACTTTGGAAAGGTAAGACAATCATTTTAAGTAATCTCATTAGATTTGTGAAATTCTCATCACAATCTGTCTTATATTTATTTTAATTCATCTTAATGAATTAAAATATATGTCGAATTAAATTCAGTTCCTTTTACTGTGTTAAGAATCTTCAAGAAAATACAATCTAAGATATTAATGCATCTGATACCCTGCAATATTATAGCAGTGAGTTATATGACCTGGGTATGTGACCAAACTGCTTGAAAACACTTAAAAAAAAAAAACACTTTCTCTGGAAAGTACTATCAGCTCTTCTTGTGAAGTTTATGGAATAAAGAAAGTTATCTTGACAATTTGAAGAATGTCTTATTAAATTTATAGCCTAATTCAATTCTAGTCTAGTTGGGGGGGTTAATTCTCACCCAGGACATTGTCCAGGGGACAGGTAAAATTTGGCTAATCATTTCCATATCATAAAACTATATATAATATTTATGTTTCTATAAATATATATGTGTATATTTATCAGCAGTCTGCTTGGGCTCAGATAGACATGTGTGAGATAATTATTAATTTTATTATTTATTAATTTAATATAATTTTTCCTGGAATAATAGGCCAATCTATTTTTTTAATAAAATAAACTGTACATTCTCATTGGTAATACAAATTGACAAATCTTTTTTTTTTAGCTTGGCATGAGGAACTTCCATTTAAGGAAAAACAAGGTTTTCTGCCCAGTATTGAACCTGGACAAGCTCTGGACCCTCGTGTCAGAACAGTCGCGTCTCAAGTATGCAGATGCCACTGACGGCAAGGTCCCAGTCATTAACATTGTCAAAGCTGTAAGTTTCAAATTTTTATTATCATTTTCAGTTTTAACATCTTCACGGCTGCCTGTATTGTTTAAGAAATAATTTTGACTGCTAACAAATAGTGTGTTTTTAGCACTGGAGTGTTGTGAATAGTCAACAGTATGTAAAAACTGTTGTGTTTCGTATGAGAGTGCTGAAAATACAACTGTTGTGTAGCGTAACGGCAATGTGTGAAAACAAACGTTTTAGTGTATAAAAATGTTTAGTTTTAGTGTTTTTGAACAATATGTGCGAAAAAATATAAAACTACTTTTTTTTAATTAAAATAATAATTACAAATGTCAAAGGCAAGTGTGCATTTAATATAAACTTCGTTATTTTTATGGATATATAAAAAATCAATGTGATGATTTTAGAGACATTATTTTAAAAGCAATTATTTATTATTATTATTAATTACGCACATGTTTGCTTAGTAATATTTTGTTTCACTTTGTTCTTCACCACCACCACTTCAACACTCGACCACAACCCTTTGTCGGCATTTCATTGTTTTAAAAAATCTTTGTGTTCTTTGTATAACCTGCCCTATTGTTTGCCTGCTAGTTATTTTGCCAACATTTTGAAAGTTTGCTCTTTCATCGTTTTCGTTATCTGTTTGACGAAAACAATGAAATGCCTACAAAATATATCAAACACAAAATATTAATAAGCAAACGACTATTTTTGCTTTTAAAAATGACTCAAAAATCATCACATTGTTTTTTATATTTCAATAAAAATATCTTGAAAGTTTATGTTAAATGCAGACTTGGTTTCATATTAAAACACATTGCCCAAAATAAACGAAAATTAAAAACATTTATACACTCAAATGTAGGTTTTCACACATTGCCGTTACGCCACCACAACAGTTGTGTTTTCAGCACTCCTATAGAACGCAAGGGGTGTGGTTTACTTACAGCACTTCCGTTGGGATTCTTGGAAACATCGTGTGTGTTATGAGCACTACTGTACTGAACACAACAGTTGTGTGATGGATTAATTAGTCTTCACATGTATTTAATTGTGAATTCTTAAGTAGCAGTTAGCAAATTAATTATATCCGTGAAATGATTGAAACATATTATTATTATTATTAGGGTATTATGGACGAGCAGCAAACTTGCTGATGTGTCCACATCACTGCACTGGAGTAAGTTTGTGATGTAAGAGTTCCCATGTACATGATTAAACGGTTGTTTAGTCCAATGGGTTGTGCTTTTCTAACCATATATCTAGTTGGCACTTAAAACTGTTCACTGACTTTACGGTCACAACATTTTCCGGAAGCTTGTTCCATATCGCAACAACACGATTGTTCAAAGTGTGATAGGCTACCAGCGACTGTGAGTGTGAGCGATCTATTGTGAAGCTGTGTCCCCGTGATGAGTACGCCTTGCGCTGGAGGAGGAACATATCCTTGATATTTGGAAGATTATATCTTGAGCTTAGTATTTTATAGGTTTCAATAAGATCGCCTCTCATCCTGCGATGTTTTAATGTCGGTAATTTTAACACTTTTAAGCGTTCCTCGTAAGTCTTATGTCGCAGTCCATACGGTATCCTAGTTGCTCGCCTTTGCACACTTTCCAGCAGGTCAACGTCCTTTACAAGGTAGGGATTCCAAATTTGAAAACCGTATTCTAACAGAGGCCTGACATAAGTTTTATAAATTTTGGTGAAAACTGAAGGTGTCATGTGTTGGAATGCACGTCGTATAGCATATAGGAAGGAATTTGCCTTTTTAACTATAATATTGATGTGGTCAGCCCATTTTAAGTTGCTGGTTATCATTACTCCAAGATCTTTTTGCGACTTGACAGATGCAACTATTGTGTCACCTATTGTGTATGGTACTTCAGGGTTGTTCTTACCCAGACGCAATACTGTACATTTGGATGCATTGAGCTTCGCAATCCACTCTTTGGTCCACTCTTGTAATTTGTCCAGATCTGATTGCAGTTGTCCTGACCGAATGACAGGATCACCAAAGAACTTTCCATCATCAGCGAAAAAGCATGACTCACACTCTATTAATGCTATTAAATCTGCAGTGAAAATGTTGAACAGGATAGGAGAGAGAACCGAGCCCTGGGGGACACCACTCAAGACCTTCATTGTCTCAGATAATGTGTCACCGACTCTGACTTGGTATGTTCTATTTGCAAGGTAGTTTTCAAGCCATTTTAGGAGATTTCCACGCATACCAAAGTGCTCAAGTTTCAACAATAGTCGATTGTGAGGAACCTTATCAAAAGCACGTTCGAAATCCAAGTAAATGACGTCCATACTTCTTTTTTGATCAAGTTCCCTTGACCACGTGTTAACACATGTTAGTAGATTAGTTACCGTGGATCTCCCCTCAACAAAGCCATGTTGTTTCACAGAAATAATGTTCTGTCTGTTGAGGAATGACCTGATATGGTTTGATATGATCTTCTCCATACATTTACCTATAGCACTTGTGAGGCTTATAGGCCTAAACTTAGCCGGGTCAGTCTTATCACCGTTTTTGTATACAGGTGTCACTATGGCATGTTTCCAATCCCTGGGTAATCTATTGTTTGTAAAGGAGGTTCTCATTATTTCTGCCAATACAGGAGCAATCAGGTCTGCACTGTTTCTAAGTACTATATTTGGTATACTGTCTGGTCCTGGTGATGAGTTTACCTTAAGGTTCTTTAGTACTTTTGCAATTTCCTCTTCCTCAAATGGGATATCACATAGGGAGGCTTGAACGCGTGCAATGCCACTAATCTTAGGTATATTGTTTATAGGTGGTTCCTCAGAGTATGCTTTACTGAATTCCTTAGCAAATGTATTAGCAATATCCAGTGGACTAGTCACTAGGTTGCCAAGCGGGCTCCGCATAGCAGGTGGAATGCTAACCTTAGAGGATGTACACCTACGCAAGTATGAATAGAAGCATTTGTCTCCATGTTTAAGTATATCTGCCTCATAGTAACTTCTATACTTTCTACACTCATTAACGCATTTGTTGCTAATGGTCCTATATTCCAAGTAGTCTTCTGTTGTTTTACTGGCAGAGTATACATCCCAAAGTTTGTGTTTTGTATGTGTTAGTTTTAATATGTGCGGTTTGATCCAAGGTTTATTTTTGTTTTTCTGCCTGACTGTCATTGGAGGGGCGTGTTTATCTATGTTAGCATTCAGTATTGTTTTTACAATGTTCCAGAAATCTTCCACTTCTTCAGTTCTGACTATATTATTTAGGCCTTCGCAGAGGTCCTTGTTAAACTTATTGAAGTCAATCTTTTGATAGTATCGCTTCTGTTGCCGGTGGGAATCTGATGGGCAAGTGAGGCACTGCATTTGAAGGTGCAATACACAGTGATCGCTCTTGCCAATAGGTGGTAGATGGTTTATACTGGATATCATAGAACCATCGTTGGTCATAACGAGGTCCAGTAGTGATGGTATATTGTTCTGCCGAAATCTTGTGGGGCCGGATACTAGCTGATGGAGATTACTGTCAAGAAACATAGTCCGAAACAACTGTGATGCGTCACTCAGTCTTTGGTCTTGGTGTGAACACATAGGCCAGACGAGGTCCGGGTAGTTGAAGTCTCCCATGATAAGTATGGTGTTGGTTTCAGAAGCATGTGATATATTATCAAGTAAGACTTTGTCGTCTTCTGCCCAGTTAATATTATTATCAGCACGGTAGACTCCAACTAGTACAAAATGGTAATGCACAAATTGTATATCAAGGTATAGCGCCTCCACCATGTCAGCCATATACCGGTTATTCTTGCGTGCAATTATTGGGATGCCGTTAACATTGCTTCTGACATAAATCGCTACACCACCGCCCCTTGATTTTCCACCTTCGGCCCTTGGCCGCTTTTTGCGGTCTTTTCTAAAGAGAGTGTAGTTTGGTATTGCATAGGTACTGTTCCTGTCATTATTATTAAGCCATGTTTCTGTAACAATTATGAATGTGGGTTTTTGTGCGTTTATGTCAAGAAGGAATAAGTCGAATTTAGCGGGTAGTGAGCATAAGTTGGTATAATAAAATGTAAGGTTGGTGTATGGGAGTGTTACTACTTATTAGTTTTTTGTCTTGATAATCTTTGGCATTCCGCTAACATATTTTATAGTGATATCTATCTCACCTTTATCCATTCTTTCTTTTAGGCTCTGGCGGAGCTGGTTGAGTTCTTCTCGTTGCTGTGGTGTTCTGTCATTATAGATTCTTACCTCCTTACGCACTTTTGCCTTGTTTTTTAGGATGTGGACAGCATCAGATCGACTCTTTAGAACAACTTTCATAGGCCTGGGCTTTGAACTGTCTTTTTGACCTAAGCGAATTATCTTGACCACTTTAGCTGAGGCTCCACTATCCCCAGTGATTTCCTCTAAGATTTCTTTAAGTCCTGATTCGTCATGGGCACTGCGACTGTCTTTATCATCCAAGTCGGATTCCTTTATACCAACCACAATAATGTTATTAGCTCGACGCTCACGTTCTGCCATTTCTCCAATAATGGAGTTCGCATCAATGGCACCCGTTGTCGGCTGCGAAAACGCCGGTTTCCTTTGGCCGGGAGTTCGCTCGGCAAGTTGTTTTTTTATGTCATCCAGCTCTTCTCGCACTGCATCATAAGACTTTATCAATTTTGGTACTTGAAATAAGGCCTCACGACAAGGCGCGCACAGGTACAAAAGAGTGCGTCGCGACTTGAGCCCCATAACTCTAGCCTCACTACTTGTCAAGTTGCTACATTTTGAGCACACACCGCGCTTGCACCCATCACACTGAACAGCATTGTCGTCATTACTGACATCACTTTCGCATTGAAAACACTTCATTTTAGGTAATTTTCGTTGGTATGAATTTAAGGAAGTTCGTAAATTTCTTAACTAAATAAGATATTATGTTTAATGATTGAAAACCACTCCACTATTTATAATAGTGCACACATATCGCTTATTGTTGATTTTAACACGGTTTTTGGGAAGAATTTAGCACAAAATATTAATAAATACACAATTTTAATCGCGACTAACTTTCCAGCACAGTTAACTTAACGGAGGGTAGACGAGAAAAACCGAATTAAAATATGAATACGAAAGTATGAAAATATGAAAACGAAATATGAAAACGAAATATGAAAACGAAAAAAATATGAATTAATACGTACACGAAATTTCGCTTCACATTCAAGCAACGCGTGCTTTCTCATTCGTATATCAACGCGAGGACTTAATTTAATGAAAAATAAAATTTTAAAACAACTGCTAATGCTGAATTGCTATGTACCTACTTTCGCTCAAAACGGTGTGACCGAGCGTGACGCGATTGATGCTATTTCTGAGGGTGCAAAAGATTTTATTGTCTACTAGCATGTGCTCGCGACCTCGTTCGCGTGGTATTTGAAAAGCGCTGCCTTAGTGGGTTAAATTTCCGGACCGGGCAAAATTAACAGATATTTACCTGAGAGCAAAAATAGACTAAGGCACTCCTTATATAGACAACTGTGTGATAGTGATATACCTTCAAGTTACGATTATTTTTCATTTGCTTTCCTCGTAGGTATGTAGGTAATTGCAATATTAGCATTAGCAATTAACATGCTAAGACATAATAATTCGCAATTAATTAAATCTAGCATGAATGCTCATTATTAGTGGCCTCTAGTTGCGGATCGAAGAAATACCGGTATTTTTTCAACACGGGAAAAAGTTTATATAAAGATAAGGTGTGTGTTATGCAGCAGTGAAGGTGTTAAACAAGATACTTAAATAGAGAACTTTACTTATTTCAAGAATAAAGTTTGTAGGCACAGTACATTGAAATTTAATTTCCTCTCTGTCATTGCAATTGTTTAGATTTTGCGGTGATAAACTTTTTAGCAGTAGCAAACAGTATTATGGTAGAAAGTGTATTTTAAAAACTCACAAAGACATTATAACAAATTCTTCCGTTCATTATAATTGTCTTAAATTGGTTTTTCAGCTTAAGTTTATGATTGAGGACTGATGTCAGGATCTGTGTGTGAAAGTCTTATTATTGAGCATGGTTAATCAGGTTGTAATTACATATGAATATCACACTTCTACCAGTGAAATCTATATGTATGATACCACTGATGATGCAGAAAAAACAGGAGTAAAAATATTTCTACCTTAACCAATTATTCCTTACATAAAAATATCATGACCTGTCCTTAGTATTGATTAGATCTCATTATAACGCATCATCTTTATATCTTTTTCAGGGTTACTACAAGTTACTCGGCAAAGGCAAACTCCCCAAGCAGCCTGTCATTGTGAAAGCCAAATTCTTTTCAAAGACGGCTGAACAAAAAATTAAGGCTGTGGGTGGTGCGTGCGTCTTGTCTGCGTAATTAATAAGTACACAATAAAAATCTAAAATCCATCTGTTTTTTTAATTCTATTTTCTGCTACCTTATACAGCCTTGGCCAAAAGTATTAGGCACCCCAGAAAATGCACAATTCATGTTTACTGATTGAACAATGAATAAATGCTTATCTGAGATGGCATGCCGGGGTCACAAATAACTTTCTAGAAAAGCAAGCAGCTATCTGTTATGGTCATAAAACACCTGGTGACTGAAAAAAAAAGGATTTTTTTTATGCGTTCTTATCGGTCAATGTTTGGTCACTTGTGTTCAGGACTCTAACGAGTAAACAAGCTTTTATTTCTAACATAGTGATTAAATTGACACGTAATTTATTTAAAAATGCCGAAAAGAAGTGAAATTAGTTTGGAAAACCGAGTAAAAATACAACTTTTCCATGAACAAGGGAAGTCGCAAAAAGAAATTGCTAAGTTAGTGAAATGTTCGCGTTGCGCTGTGCAATCTGCTATCAAACGGTTTGCTGAGACTGGCAGTCACGCTAATAAACCTAGAACAGGCAGAAAACGTGTGACTTCGAAGCGCGAGGATAGAAAATTAATAATGAAACATCGGAAGAAAACATCATCAGAGCTTGCTGCTACTTTGTCCGAAGAGGGCCAATGTGGTATGGTCTGACGAATCTAACTTTGAGGTAAGTAAATTTTACAGTGTGCGTTACCCCAGCAAAATAATGTCGAAAATGGTCATTTAAACGTTATAGATAATTAGTTGCTCCCCTTCTGTAATTGTTAGGCACATTTTTAAATTTGTTTCTCTTAAACTTTTTTAGTTATTTCAAAAAAACATTTCCTGCTGGGGTAACGTTTGAAACGTTACCGCAGCCAGACATTTTATTTTTTGATTGTAATATTGAAATAAATTTTAGCTAGATAATTAGTTATCTGGACTAGGTAAATGTTACAACTTATTTGGTATTTGTATTTTCTTCGGCTGCGAAGTTATTCGAAATCCTGCTGGAGTAACGTTTGTGGGTTTGCTGGATCTCTGAAACGGGTAAACGGATTGTAACCATCTTTTGTACATAACTTCTTAAGGATTAGTTTTAATTTGTTCGACAATAAAATAACAAAAATAATGGACCGTTTAAAAATTATTTAGGTAAGTATGAAAACACTTCAATACGTCCTAACACTTTAAATAAGACCTCTAAAGACTTACTTCAAACGTTATTCTATTGCTTGTAACTACCTTCAAATGTATACGAATTTTCGTAAGAATACTATAAGTGACTAAAAAGTTATGATGAAATGTAGCTCTCCACGTTCACGATCACAATGTGTGCGGCCTTTTTTGGCCACCGATAAACCTGTGTGTGGATATATAAACTGAATGTTATGCCAATAATTAGTTGTTTAGTTCAGTTGTCTACCTGTAAAATTTCAGCGTAGTACATATAATAATTTACGAGATAATTAAATAAAAGTCATTGGAAGGTGCAAGACCGTGGTAACCCGACCATGTTTAGGTGGTTACAAAAAAGCGATCACCCAGTACATTGTGCTGGCTTTTAAAATATGTAGGATATTATTTGCAAGTTTACTACGGATATGTACATAAGTGTTACAAAAAACTACATGTTTTTTAAATAATTTTTATTTAGAATTGTTTATTGCATAATTAGTAATCAGCCGGGAGATTAGGTGTTGTTTTGAATGCTTTTGTTTTCTCGTAATGTTAAGGTGAATTGTTTATAGTTGTTCATAGAATTGGTACCTGCGTAGTATTTGTTAATTGAAGTTTAATTTTAGGGTAGGTATAGGTAATTTAAGTTTTGAAGAGTGTAACGTATGCGTTGTAAATAGGTATTTTGTGAATAGATGGGGATTTTTTTAAGTGATGAATTGACTTAGGCTAGCATATCGCGAACAAACTCTGTATTGCAATATTTCTGTAATAATGTTGGAGAAAATAAAATATTTGATCACAAAATCGAGGTGAGTTAAATTATAATAAAATAAATTATTTATATAAAATTAGTAATAAGTGATATACCTACCTACAAGTTATGATCGTTTTTAATTGGTTCACCTTTTTTTTTTTTTTCCGTGCGGAAATCCCCTCGGATACCACCTTTCGGTGGCATGTCGGACTCGAACCGACTAAAACCGCACGCCGTCTCGGGTACTAATAGCCGGGGAACCAGGTATACCTTAGAAAGGAAGTCCCTGGTACTAATTGGTTCACCCTGAACAAAATTTCAATATTAGCATTAGTAATTAATATCCTAAGACAAGAATTGACAATTACTTAAATTGAATCGAATTAGCATTAATGCCCATTATTAGTAATTAGGTACACACATATTGAAGAACTCTCAAGAATACGATAAATATTTGCAAAAATAGAAAGCGGAAGCGCACACGTACTTTACAACACGTATATTATCTGCCTAAGGGTCAAGTTTAGTGCACTAGATGCAAATTGCAAACAATGAAGTATCCCTTCGCCCCTCCCCTCCCGCGTTCTAGCGAAGGATGTATTATCAGCGATTCTTGATTGACAAATATTATCTGACCAATAATTTTATCTATAAAAATGTATCACTTTCACTCGATAAATTAAATTACCGTTATTATATCAAAGTATCATTCAACAACTGTTCGTTTTTAACAGAAATCAACAGTCACGGGCTCAACGCTTAACGGTAGGTACATAGGTATAGATAATTCTCGGTTCTCGGTATAGACTACAGAACAATATTACCTACTCTTACGAGGTATACGACTGTTGGGCGATGCAATGTTGATGCATTCTAATTTACAACTGTATTCTTCTACTATTCGGTCTATTTTAACGTATTATAGATGACTTGTTGCTTTGAATATTTGGATGCATTCAAGTCTAAGCTCTATACACCCAAAATAAAATACAATTACTTTAGTGTTATTTCTTTACAAAAAAAAATCAAAGAAATGAAACGATTTCTTACTGGTTTAAACTTTCGATTTATTGCAGTAAGGTGAATCGTTCATACATGTATCTACATATTTATAATTTTAGCGGACCAGTGCAGATTTTCTGTTCATTGTAGCTCCGGTAGTACAAAAGACTAAAGAAATTTTAAGTAAAGAAACTAGTGCTTAAGATCAATTGGGGAAAAACACAAAATAAATAATAGGTAATAATAATGAATAAATATTGAATGTATTTAACACTGTACGCAACTGTACCGAAATCGTAAGGTGTATTACACTAAACATTTTAAAAGACAGCCCAATAGACTGGGTGATCGCTTTTTTGTAACCACCTAAACATGGTCGGATTACCACGGACTTGCACCTTCTAATGACTTTTATTTAATTATCTCGTAAATTATTATATGTACGACGCTGAAATTCTACAGGTAGACAACTGAACTAAACAACTAATTATTGGCATAACATTCAGTTTATATATACACACACAGGTTTATCGGTGGCCAAAAAAGGCCGCACACATTGTGATCGTGAACGTAGAGAGCTACATTTCATCATAACTTTTTAGTCACTTATAGTATTCTTACGAAAATTCGTATACATTTGAAGGTAGTTACAAGCAAAGGAATAACGTTTGAAGTAAGTCTTTAGAGGTCTTATTCAAAGTGTTAGGACGTATTGAAGTGTTTTCATACTTACCTAAATATTTTTTAAGCGGTCCATTATTTTTGTTATTTTATTGTCGAACAAATTAAAACTAATCCTTAAGAAGTTATGTACAAAAGATGGTTACAATCCGCTTACCCGTTTCAGAGATCCAGCAAACCCACAAACGTTACTCCAGCAGGATTTCGAATAACTTCGCAGCCGAAGAAAATACAAATACCAAATAAGTTGTAACATTTACCTAGTCCAGATAACTAATTATCTAGCTAAAATTTATTTCAATATTACAATCAAAAAATAAAATGTCTGGCTGCGGTAACGTTTCAAACGTTACCCCAGCAGGAAATGTTTTTTTGAAATAACTAAAAAAGTTTAAGAGAAACAAATTTAAAAATGTGCCTAACAATTACAGAAGGGGAGCAACTAATTATCTATAACGTTTAAATGACCATTTTCGACATTATTTTGCTGGGGTAACGCACACAATTTTACAATGCACCTTGTCATAAGTCAGCGACTACGATGCGTTGGTTTACTGAAAACAACATTGACTTGTTAGGTTGGCCAGCGCAGTCACCAGATTTGAACCCAATTGAACATCTTTGGAGCATTTTGCGTTAGCACAAGAATGGCATGCCATTACAAGGGAGGATAGTACTAAGCTTGTACGCAGTGCCAGCTAGAATTAGTGCAGTAATTAAATCCAAAGGTGGACCGACTAGATTTTAAGTTTTTTTCATTCCTTTTTGTGAATTTTAATGGTAATAAATAAATTCAAAAAGTATAAGTTGTTTTTTCCTTTATTTTAAGTAAAATGTAGGGTGCCTAATACTTTTGGCCAAGGCTGTATATATTATAAAGGTACCTACTTCTCTTTTTTTGTAAAAGACCTCCCGCATTAGGAATGTATCCTGTGTCGCGGGGAACTTTGAAAACATACATAAAACGGACACAAAGAACACCTAGACTCAGAACAACAATTTGTGGATCACACAGTGTCGTCCCATGTGGGGTTTGAACCCACAACACTCGCGTAGTAGGAAGCGGCGTGGCGACCGCTTGAACCACTACGCCATCCGTGCAGTCAATAAAATGGTGCACTAGATAAGTTTCAAGTTACATTTATTTTAGAGCTGTATTCATAAAACGACAAACAACGCTTTGGTATAGTTTATTGGAATTTTATGAGTGAGGGCTAATTTTGTGAAAGTGATTATTTCTATTATCATATGCTAATGACAAGTCATTAAACACGTTAGACTCATTAGTACATAGAAAAATGTAAGATATCCCTGAGAGCTGCACAACGGCTATGTACAAGTGTATAATAATTCATTTTTAAAAGTAGACAAATTAGTTTTCAATAATAGTAATACCTCACACATGGGCCATCTGATCCTAACCTAGATAGCAGCAGTGTCAGGTCAATATTGTACCTACACCTAACGTAGAATGAGACTCGGAGTTACACGCGCTCTTGCTCCGTACTATGGCTGCAAACATGTTGCCGAGCGAGAGAATTCCCACTACCTCACAAAGGACACACAGACTCAGAACAACAATTTGTGAATTAAACTGTTGTTCCCACTACGCCATCCGTGCAGTCAACACAATACTCGTACATTTTCACATAAACCTAGACTATAAAAGTATATATTGGACAGCTGTTACAAAATGACAAAGTTGAAAGAAAATATTTCCTAGTAGATAGGGTGAAAATGACCACACAAATATCCATGACTGATAAGGTTCAATAAAAAATCTGGATAAAGAATTTAACTTATAAATTGTTTTTGTAAGCTGTGGTAAAGACATTTCCCTAAACTTCCCCAAAGGGATTGTGATCTGTGACCCCCTAGGGAGAATTGTGTCCGACTCCATGATGCATCAGATGCATTACAGAAAAAACTAGCATTTTACTACTACTACTATTTTTTTTAGGACTTATGGATTATTTCTTTAAGCTGATTAGAAAAGGTCATGTAAATAAATTATGCGAGTCTCCTGCTCTTAAATTCGGAAGGATTTTTTTCCAATATTAGTTTTTAAACTTAATTTAGTACATAGGTATTTTGATCACCAACCTCCTGGACTCAATCACTTCTTCAAGAACCAAGATCATCTGTATGCATTACGCCTAACTGTTTACTGCAAATATATTAAGTTATAAATAAAAACAAAATTTAATTATATACTTGTATATTAATCCTCAAAGCTAAGGGATACAAAAAATATTATATGGTGGTAATTTAAAATAAGTATAAAAAATTTAAAACAGGATTCTTAATGCAAGTACCACTGGGGTTACGATTACCATGAGATCAATAAAATAATATCTACTTCATACACATTTTTACTTAAACTTTAAGTTGCATTTAATTTGTTTACACCTAATTATTGACCATACACAGGTGCAAAACGCAAACTTTTATGGGTAAAACTAGAAATGGCAAAACTAAAACTATAAAAAGACTATACATTAAAATTATTTAATAATATGTAATGTAAATGTACTCTATCAATCAAAATGAGCTATTGTGATAACTGTACTCTTTATAATCTAAATATTTAAGATTCAAATATGTCACAGATCAGTCAATTTTTAGTCTTTTTTTTTAATATTAAGCATTAAGTGTAAATTGTAACAGTGTGTGTGGGCCTCATTTGTGGTATTTGATCTGTGGGTGCCTGTGTCTGCAGAGGATCAACTGGTCGTGCCACTTGCTTTGCTTTCTTTCTTGCGGCATCACTTTCAGCATAATACATTCCTAGTCTTGTTTTAATAGCAGCCAATGCGGCTCCATTTATTTCATCATGAAATATGTTTGTGTACCTCCATTGTTTCACCATAGGTCCTTTCTTTTTTTCTTTTTTAATTTTCTTTTCTGGTTTGTCTTGTTCCTCAAGTAATTCTTCAGCTTGATGATAACCAGAGTTGTCCATACTCATACTAGAATGTTGTTGAGGCTCAGGTTTAGTTTGTAGAACAATAAAACCTACTGATTGAGCAGGAGTAGGTCTAGGTGCACCAGACTGAAGCAATATTCCCATACCTTGACCTCCGTTAGCAGTTTGATAGAAATTTGCTGGTGTTCCTGTGGCTAAGGCAGTTGTTTGATATTGGTTTTGGAAATAGTTTTCTGCAATATTAACTAGATGGCCACTTCCAGGATATGCAAGAGATGCTAAAGGATCTTGTGCAGTGTGAGGTTGTGGTTGCGGTGGTTCTAATTGACCGCTTACATCCATACTTCTTTTAGATTTGGGCATTGTTGCTGTTATATTATCAGGGTCATAGGTTTTTATATAATCCTTCCACATTTTAGAAATATTTATTTCTAAGCCAGCAATTTTGTCCAATCTAATGAAATCTTTCAGCCGATGAGTATGGACAATGGAATAAATGTGATTTTTTATTTGATCTAAAATACCTGATGGCAGTCGAACCTCTCCAGACCTTCTGTGGCTATTTTTGCCACGGTTATCACTAGGGAACATGACACCATCATCCATTTTTTTGCAAAGAACTCTTACTTTTCTTTCTGTTATTGCATGTATGTTTTTAAATGCTGTTTGGCACACTTGCGTCTCCCTTCCTTTAACTCGAATAAAGTATTCGAACGTGCATGTACGGCGGCTACTAGTTTTAACTCTTTTTCTTTTCACATCAACCTGCCTCATGAGTCCAAATAAATAGGCATTTTGTTCATCATGTGTTTTCATAGAGTAGAAACCCTGAAATGTTTTTAATCTAATATCTTCCGGCACTTTCTGAAAACATCGTCTTCGGCAATTACAATCGGATCCTGGTTGTTTCGGCGGTACGACTTTTCCATTTGCATTTATATATTCTAATCCAGCTATTCTCAGACGTTTTTGTTTTTGCTTGTGCCATTCTAAAAAAATACAAATTCTATTATTCAAAAGAATAACTATGTGAGCTTTGTTGTTAAAATTATATCACGCATAACAAAGAAGTAATTAGTATATACATAATATGTTTACATATTACGTATTGTAATAAGCTCACTATTAAAGCTTTTTTTACACTCGTGAGTAGCGGCTGTAAGATCAGTGTTTACGAGGGCAAGTAAATCGCAACTACTTAACTTCTACAAAAATGTAGTAAGGTAGTAAGTGGCAAAAAGTAAGTAAGGTAAAGCACACTAAAGAGTAAGTGGGGTGCCGATAAGACTAGCAAAGCAAAAAAAAGCTTATCGTTAATTTTATATGAGTCAAGAGCTAAACTCGCCTTCTGGATTCCTTGAACGTCTTTTAACGACTTTTCCGCTTTTTGTAAGCTTTACTTTGCGCTCATTATTTGAGACATCGGCCATTTTAGTACCGAAGCATTTTATATCTTTCATTCATATATTTATATCGTACAACTGAGCCTAACCACCACAAGGTGAAACTAAACGTGTGACATTGCAATAATGATTTTATTGTGTATTATCTTTTCAGGGGTCTACAGAAAAAAAACTGCTGCTTTTTATTACATACAAATAAAAATTTAATTTATTCATTTATCTCAGAAAACTCCTATTCAGAAATATCATCAACGATTATGATTGACAAAACGTGATTAAGTATTAAATAAAATTAAATTGCGTTCTGTTCATTCATTTAGGTTTACGACGTATCGGTACCTATTTAATGTGATATTCTAGGAGAATATAAGGCATAAGTTATTTTGCACCTGTTTTTAATGTTACAAGGGTTCTATCGGACTTAGTGATTCTTGTTTTTGATTGGCTATATAATTCTAAGTGGGACATGTTACAAAAATTATATTCTTTACAAATTTTTGTAAGGCTGTTTAGAGTATTCGATTTTGGACTAAAACCAACAACTCGCCTTACATACACTCGCCTTGTCACAAAGCACTGATAAAAGTGATCTAGTGCCGAGTCACAGTGGATCTTTTCTCTACTTTTGTTTCAAAGGCTTTTTGGAAATTTATTTATTATTCAACCAATAACTTTTTCCTTGTGCCTTTTCTAATTTACCTAGTTATGACGTTACTTAGCAGAGCACTACAAAATGCAGTAGGTACTTAGCCTTAGCCTAGCAGACACTTCTCGGACAAGTTTTTTGTTTTTAGTACTGGTCAGTCTATACTAGTGACATAGGATTTATAGAAATACAAGCTTTTTCCCACAGCTTCGTTCGATTAAATGTCAATTTTGACAATAAATTAGCCGATTTGCTATTCTAGACTATAATCTATCAATATGCCAAATCTTGTCCAGATCCAGATAGCTTTATTTTCAGATCGAATATATATATATATAATTTGAAAATAGATATATAAGTTTAAATTTACAACGTTTTAAACATACCTGCAAACATACAACCATACATTTTATACTTACGTTTTGAAAAATAAAAAAATAGGTGTCTAATTATTACAATTTTTCATAGAGAATATTATTATACTAAGTTTGTAATCGATAAAAAAATAGTGAACTTGGACTTGGACCCCATTTGAAGGGTAGTAGTAAAAATGTTTTTTATTACTTTTAATAAAGACTATTTACTGTAGTTTGAAAACGCTACTACTAAAAATAACGAAGTTTCTTATAAATTTCGAACTCCCATTTTGCACCATTAGGGGTGGAATTTTTAAAAATCCTTTCTTAGTGCACACTTAGTTTGTCAGCCGTGCGTTGATCGATCAGTCAGTGTATCAGTCTGTCAGATTCTTGTTTTATAGATATAGATTGCCATACTTACTTATCATAGTATAGGCTCTGCCTAGTTTAGGATCAATCAGACGGCCATATGTATGTGAGGTATTATTATTATACGTTTCATTAATTATTAATTGTTTCGTATTTAAAGTGGCCTTTGAAATTTTAGAGATGTCATTCCAAAGGCAAATTTGAACGTGATATCTCTTTTCATTACTTACTTGCCTTTGCCCGCGGCTCCGCCCGGTTAACGCAGTAAAAAGTGGCCTATGTTACTAATGAATTATTGTCGCTGATCTTTCACTTTGGTGTTTAGTGATTAAGACGTGAAAGCGTAATAAACAAACTTTGTACGAGTATAAGTATGGAAATGTGGTGTATGGATATGAAAGCTAAAGCTGGCCGATAATAGGTTTTAATGGTTAATTAATCGCCTTCAGTAAATAATATATAAGCTGTCACTCTGTATTATCTATGCTGATGATAAATGTCATATCTCTTTGTCAATGACGTCATCTTTCAATCTTAATTATAATACTGACTGTACTGAGTAGAGTAAATGTTTGGTATTTTCTCAGATAACATTTATAGGCGGTATTTCACGTTAAATTCTTTCCTGTAGTGTCGAGTGGAAGTGAATATTGACTTTTATTGAATTGGGTTTTTAGTCACTATACACGAGAAAAAAAGGGTTGGAATAGTCTGAAGCACATAATTAGTCTAAATATCTAAAAGATTTGTTTTTGTTTGCTTTGGGGTACAAACAGGTGAGTAATGTTTTTGTAATATTATGAAATCATTTTAACGCGTCTAAGCTCAACTGCCCTAATTTTCCTTAATACGCCACCCAAATGTGACAAACATGATGAAATATATTCACAAAATAAGGTTTCCTTTCTTATTTTTTACAGATATAATGACTTTCCAGTCCCCTATGCCAAGCAGGGAATTCTTATGGGATGTGTTTAGAAGGTAATAACATAATTCGAACTAATGAACCAAATGACAATAGTTCTTTACAGTGATAACTATAAAACCTGATCTACAAGTCAGGTTTTTTAATGTTATTACATTTTTTGTTATTTGCACTGAATTAATCAATGAAATCTCAGCTTTGCTATATTATGGCAATGAGAACAATTATTGTATAGTAAAAGATATCATCATCATCATCAGCCACTCCACTGCTGGACATAGGTCTCTCCCATTGCACACCACTTAGATCGATTTTAGGTTTCTCGCATCTAGCTCTTGCCAGCAATCTTGCTCAAATCGTCACTCCACTACAATTTCTGAGACGAGGTCTCCACTCTAGAACTCGTTTTCCCTAACGGTCATCAGTTCTGCGGCCAATATGGCCAGCCCACTGCCACTTCAGCTTGCTAATGCAGTAGGCTATGCCGGTGACCTTGGTGTAAAAGATATATATCTTATAATATAAAGATTTTTCTTAATAGTTGTTTTTCTTGTATGTGAGTAACCAGATGTTACTCATATAAAGATAACAGTAAATAACAAGTTATAAGTGATATATCTATCATATCTTATATTTAGCACAAAATTTTCTGTATGTTCAGATAATTTACTAAATTATATCTCATATGCTATATATACTACTCATAATAAAACTAAAGTATTTTGTTGTTTGTTGGCCCAAACATGCTAATCTCTGGAATTATCGTATATGTGTAGATACTTCATTAAAAAACCAGGTATGTAATCACTCCGACAAGAACTGTCATTTTCGTTTTTCTATTTGTAAAAACACAAAGTGAACACATATTTTCCTAAATTTAAATAACTTTATTTTCTAGTAAACTAATCACAAGAATTTGTGTTTTTACATAAAAAAAGAAAACTTCATCAGATTTATCTGATAAATCATCACCTTCTTCGCTACTAACATCACTCTCGTCTTCATCTCCTTTATTTTCCTCATCTGTGATATCTGACTAATAAAATCAAAAAATTCGATGAATTGCCGAATAATCAATAAATAAGTAACAAAGTAAGAGCTGACTAAGGAAGTCAACTATGCAGGACAACAGTACTGCAAAGAGAAGAAAAACTTGAAACAAACCCTATACTAACCTGTCTGGCCAACGTGGTATAGTAGGCCAAAACCTCCTTTCTAAGAAGAGGCCCATGTCCAGCAGTGGACTAGTAAAGGCTGTTGATGATGATGATGATGAAATAACAATAGTATTATTAACAGGGTACCTTGTAAGTTAGAAGATAATTCTTCAAGAGATGGACTTTGGGGACCATCAAACACAACATTCATATTTGATCTGTACAACAACTTCTGAGAGTAGGACCGGAGTAACATAACACAATTTGTAGAACATTGTGGCTGTTAAATTATATAAATATTAACTAAGCAACAGTAAAAAAAAAGTATTGTCGTCGGCGTCATCAAATATAGCTATCCCTGAAGATTTAGCTTGATAGTGATTATTTTTACATTAGGGGTCTGTACTACAACTTTTGAGTGTAGGACCAGGATAACATACCACGCAATACATAGGGCAATGTGGCAAATATTACCTAAGCAACAGTAAAAACACCAGGTAGTTATTAATTACTTTTCATGATCTTGTTATCAATACTTATTGGAAGGAGGTCCTGTTTGATCAAACCATACATTTTGTAGAACAAGTGTTTTTTGCAATATAGGTAATAATTTTCTTAAGATTTAATAAAAAGACCTAGTGAAGTGTCTATAATGGGTACCACTGCATCTAATTATGTGGCTCATTAATTTTTATGTGTTTTAATTCTAGGGTTGATAAAGACCGCAGCGGTCATATATCAGCAGATGAATTGCAGCAAGCTTTGTCTAATGGAACATGGAATCCTTTCAATCCTGAAACTGTTCGACTTATGATAGGTTAGTTTTATATATATTTAAATGTTTGATAAAAATACTAATCACACTATACTTGATAAGCTTTTAATCCTAAAGAAGTTAAATTAATATTAAATGAAGTAATCTATTTGAAGCTTCCAAAATCCATTACTTCATGAGATGAATCTGGTGATGTATATATATATACTATTTTGACTACCTCGGTGGTGCAGTGGTAGCATATACGACTGCTGTGCTGAGGTCTCGGGTTCGATTCCAGGGTCAGACCAAATATTTGTATTTTTTTTCTTTTTAAAAAAACAACAATAATAAATATAGGAGTATATCTTGTGTCGCAGGGGACTTTACAAACAAACATGAAACGGACACAAAGAACACCCAGCCTCATAATAACAATTTGTGAATCACACAAAGTGTAGTCCCATGTGGGGATCGAACCCACCCAGCGTAGTAGAAAGTGGCATGGCGACCTCTTAAACCACTACGCCATCCGTGCAGTCAAATGGTCGTGTATGATCTGCAACAGTAAAAAAACCAGCCAGTTATTAATCACTTTTTATGAACTTATTGGAAGGAGTTTTATGAACTTACTGTTTGATCAACTATAAATTTTGTAGGACAAACATTTTTTTCAATGTTAATAATTTTCTTAAGATTTAATAAAAAAACCTAAAGACCTATAATATATATGTATTTACAAAAACAAAAACGTATATAAGTATTGTTTCAGTTAATCTAGTTTTCGTAGTACAAGCTCTGCTTAGTTCGAAACTAGATGGCGTTGTGTTAGATGTCCGAATATATTACTATTTTTATATCATATTTTTTTATAAAAATGTATACTGACACAAAATACTTAATGTAACGTTCAATTAGAAAGAAATATATTCTTTAAATAATAATTGAAATGTGAAACATTTATGTATGCTTCGTTAGTAACCCTGACTATGTTACAGTGAAAGAAAATACTTTTTCTAAAATCTTAAGAAACGGTGGATGGTCAGGCGCATGGCCTTGAACATGTAATTGTGTGTCTAAAACTAAACTAAAGAAATTTGTTAATACGTATATTATTTACTAAGTACCTATATTGTAAAACATAAACACAGGTCTTGATAAAATTAAGAATAGAAGTATCCTAATAAGACGACAAATATTTTCCAGGTATGTTTGATAAACAAAACAGAGGTGTTATATCCTTTGATGACTTTGGAGCCCTATGGAAATATGTAACAGACTGGCAAAACTGTTTCCGTTCATTTGACAGAGATAACTCTGGAAACATCGACAAAGAAGAGTTGAAAAATGCACTCACAGCATTTGGTTATCGGTTATCTGATGAAGTGGTTAATATGATGGTTCAAAAGTTCGATAGATATGGTCGAGGCACTATACTCTTTGATGACTTTATTCAATGCTGCATTACTCTATATGTAAGTATTTCACGTCCCAGGGAGGTTTGCCGTCCCGCCTATTTGTACTTTAAGACTAAAATAAACCAAACAGTCGAAATAGTTCAACAAATATAATTATTTGAAGCCTGCTTTAAAAATGTGTCAAATATTGAATACTAAAATGTTATCAGATAATATTCTCTTGTAAATTTTGTAAGTAAATAGTCGGCTCATAATTGTTTTTATTTAATTTTCAGACGCTGACGTCAGCATTCCGTCAATATGATACAGATCAAGATGGCGTCATTACAATTCATTATGAACAATTCCTTAAAATGGTGTTTGGACTAAAGGTAAAAGTATGAATGTTTTTTGCATAAATTCGGAAGGCTTGAAGACTACAAGACGTTTTCTTAAATATCTAAGTGTCTATTAAATATTTTGTAATAAATAAAGGCTTGCTATATTGAAACATGGGATTTGATGTAAACATAACCCACCCAATTCAGTGTGCATACAGTGTTAACAAAACTGAAAAAAGTATCACAACTCCATCATTTCCCTATCATGATGGCAATTCTTATTTCCGTAATATACATGTATCTAAGATTGAGAATGTGAAAAAAAAAAAGATTACCGATTAAGTACCGATTAAGTACCTACAGAAAAATGTTTTGAAGAATAGTTTTATATTAAACAAAGAAAGACATTATTTTACAAAACAAGCTTTTTTATTGTATATCCTAAAGAATAAACTTATACAACTGTTTATAAAGATTAGCATTTAAGAATCTTCATTTACCAATTCTTTGATTGGAAGCACTAGGTATTAAACTTATTAACTTATAAAAAACATTGTTGTAAAAGTTACAAAACTATGCAAAACATCAATAATTCTGTGCAAATAATCATTCAGCAGTGGACGGCAATAGACTGATGATAATCAAAGCCTGAAGAGTAAAGCTCGACTCCTCTTCTTATTATTAATTTAAAAAAAAAGAGTTATTATGTACTTTTTTTCCACTTAGCATTCCTATTCTATTTTAAGTCGTAAATGTTTCGGCCTTAGACTATGTAAAGGTATATTAACAGGAACATTTCTCTTTCGTTCAGTGTTGGCCGTAAACGCTGCTGTTGTCCAGGCTCCTGAGAATACGCTAAATTTCACCTCACCTCATACCCACCCAAACAATGTATAAATATAAATAACTCAAGGTAAATATTAGCCTTTTAGTCAACAATGTTTTTGACATACCCAATATGAATCTTAATGTGTCTATCTCAATCTACAATTTAAGTGGTTATACAATTTCAATTGTAATTAAGTGTAGGAAAAACTAAACTCTTTTTATATTTTGTAAAAATATATTGTATTTTAACTCTTTGGCTATAATATCTATGTGTAGTGGCGCTCTTGCACGTTTTCTACTTGATATGATGATACTGTTAAGCATTTAATGCAATTGAAGCTCAAATAACAATTCGTTATTATAGCAATGGTATATAAATTCTCTCGCCAAATTTTTTACTTCTTGCTCAAAGTGATTTGACGCCGGAACCATTTTGTATTTTTATGACACTAAAGTCACCTTATGTTTGATTTTGTTACTCGAATGTTATTAAGGCTGTCAACATTATAATTCACTTATATTCCACATTACACATAAGAATACATGTTACGTATTTTAAATAGCTTGTAAGTTATTGTTTTCACTTGATTTTTTTACAATTATTCTATTTTTATTATTATTTGTTATGCATGTCAGGACTGCCCAACTGGAATTCTTACTATGCTATTAGTGAATTGGAAATTGCTGTGTAAACTATATAATATGTTTCTTTTTATGATATTTATAATGAATCACGGCGAAGTACGGCTATGTATTGCAGTTACTGGTACAATTAAGAAAAACAGACTTTAATAAATGTTTTACATGAAAGTGTATTTATTCTTAATAATATAAGGTGATATATAAAATATGAACTGATTTAATTTGTTTTCTGGCTCTTAATTTTCCAAGCTCCAATGGTATACTTAAGCCATATTAGGCCCAAATCACAACCCATTTGCAACCACGAGAACACAGGAGTTATCTTCGAGCCCTCAATCTCTGTCCATCTAACTGGAATCTCAGCAATTGGAATGTTCAATACTTTTGCTATGTACAATAATTCTACATCAAATGCCCTGAAATCAAATGTAAAAGCACATATAAATGGAAGATATTAAAAACCAATCTTAACAGGGTAATAAAGACTGAAAAAGTGTTTTTTTTTCCGTCGTATCACAGGCGCTCGACTGTGTGACTGTTTATCTTTGGAACGTCAATAAAGGACCTTCTAGTTAACACTTAACACACTCATTTACGTATCGTAACTATCGCTGAATGGGGTAGATTCCTAGGTTTAAAATAAAATCACCTAATTCATTAAATTGTGAGATGATTATTACTAACACATAATCTATAGACCAATGTATAAAATAAATTGTTATTATTATTCTCTTTATTACGTTACATACATATTAATTGCATTTTTAAATATATTACAAAGAAAATAATATATTTAAAAATATAAAAAAAATAGTAGACCACCGACATCGGTACAGGGACCAAGACACCGGTGGTTAGGACTCCGAAGACGGGAACCTCCTCACCATACGGGCCGTGTTAAGGAGAACTGCCTTCTGCATCAGACCCTTGATCCAGCCGTCTGACGTAAGCATCTTAAGGTGTTATCCAAATATTTTATGCGATAAGCAACAATCATTGCGATAATTAATTAATAAATTGCTCTAATCGATCTATCACCACAATATCTGGCAAATTGGCAACCACAGTCCTGTCTGTGATAATAGATCGATCCCAGTACAACGTGGCCCGACCATTCTCGAGAACTGGGTCGGGCACATAGCTGTAGTATGGCACCTCTGGATTCACAAGTTGGTATTTAAAGTAAAGCTGTTGGTGAACGATCCTGGCTACTTAGCTGTGCCTGTGCAAATATTCATCGGTAGCGACAAATTATATGCCTGATTGACTCCCCAGGACGGTGGCATGCCCGACAGATGTCAACCGTACCATCTTTTAGGATATATTTCCGTTAGTTATTCGTCATGATGACTTCGTCTATAATCGCACAAACATAATCTCCAGTTTCTCCGAAAGATCACCGTAGCCAAGTCGTATATGCTTTTAAGTCTATATCGGTCCCGTTTAGGACCCGATAAAACCGACCATGGAGCTCTTTGTCCTTCCATAGTTCCCTGCGATCATTAGTACTAAGTAAGTACTACAGGTTGGCGCCAATTCTGTTTAGCCAGAGCGAGCAGGGTGAAACCGGTATCCACTGCAACTACATTGCGATGCACTCCCACATCAGTATGTAGAAAATATTCTCTGAGATTTCATATCTCGCGATTGTGTAGGGTCTTGATATTTAATAGTCCACGACCGCCAAACTTTGGTGGGATATACAATCTCATAATCGATGAACGTGGGTGGTGCATTCGGAATGCAGTCAGCAGTGTACGGACTCTCCTGTCAAGGGCATCTAATTCGGCCTGAGTCCATCTAAGTATACCAAAGGAATACATCAGTATTCAGAAAGTACCTTGTTGCCCCATGATAAAAGTCTTTTAAGTACTGTTTTCAGCCGGCCAAAAAAGCGTTCCTGCAACGATTGTTTCATGTCAGATTCTGGTATTAATATAACTAGATACTTGTAAGTTTCAGTGTCAGACAGAGATCTGAGTTTTGTTGAATCTGAAAGCTCTATTCCTTCCGATTCTACTATCACGCCCTTCATTACATACATGACTGCACACTTGTCTACACCAAATTCCATCTTGATAGAATTAATAAAGTTTCCCGTCACCTTTAGTAACGCTGTCAATTGTAATTTAGTAGGGGCTAGTAGTTTCAAATCATCCATATAAAGAAGGTGAGATATAACTTGATCATGTCTCTGCAACCTATAGCCTAATCCTGAAACCTCTAATAGGGTGCCGAGAGGGTTCAAAGACAGACAATACCCGCTTGATCTTTATTAGTGCATCGTTTCCCGCAGTCTGCCGACATCCTGCATAGATAGTGCTGTTCTCCATTGCCCCATACATGACTCCAAGAAAGTGCACAGAGTTGTATCAATTTTATTCTCCACTTCAACTCTAGCACCTACAAAAAACATGTATGTGGAACCGAGTCATAAGCCTTTTTACAGTCTATCCAACATGTCGCCAAACTCTTACGATTACAACATACCTGTTAGCTAATGGTCCTGTCTATGATAAGGAGGTCTTTAGTACCACGGGTCCCACTTCTATATCCATTCTCAGAAACTGACGTGATCGAATTATTATTAATGTGTAAAGTAATTTTAAGTCTCAGAATAGATGTTAGAAGTTTATACATGGTTGGTAAACATGTGATAGGTCTAAAATTTTTGGGATCCGTGACACTTATAGTGTAAGTGGGTTATGCCAGTTGTTAAAACTTGGGATAATGAACACGAATCCAACGCTACCTGGAATTGAGATTGCAAACACGCATGTAAGCTTCGAAACCACTTTTAGCCAAAAGTTGTGCAGTCCGTCTGGACTAGGTGATTTCCAATTATTGAACGAACTGCACAGCTTACATCATCTTTATCAATAGTAACAGGTTCCATAGGTCTTATAGACTCACATGAGTGTGTGACATCCCGCAACCAATCCCCTTCTATATGAGTGACAGGCACCGACCAGATGTTACGCCAAAATGTATTTGTGACATTTTCATCTGGCAAATGTCCATCACTCACATATGGATCCGGTTCCTCCCATTTCCGGTACACCCACTTCTCTTTTCTTTGAAACATTCGGATCTGATAATACCGATCTATTCGTTTTTTATACCGTCTAATCCTATTTGCCCATGCACGAAGAACAATGGCGACTTCGTAGTTGAGTATAACTTTAGCGTTCTTAAAATTTCTTTCATAGGCAACTAATTCAAGTAAATATCTAGATTTTTTGAAACTATCGTCTAAGTCAGTGAAACCCCATGAAAAGAAAGAAAAATATTATAAGCTTATTTGATTATTTAAATTTCCTTTTTCAGTTTAGTGTTACCTAAATTACTGCCATTTTTTTCAAGTAGTGGAAATACTGTCCAATAAAGTGTCGTAATATAACAATCGCTTAATATGGTAATCAGATAGTTTTATAATTGTAAGTACTGAATCAATAAAGAATCTTGTTTGTGGTGAATTATTAAACGCATTATTTACGTATTTTAAAATCCTATAGTGGAATGTAAGGAAGTAAAAAATAAATAATGTGGTAACTGCAAGCTTGACAGATTTTTGAGCTCTGTGTTTAAATATAAAGATTAAACGTCTGACGCGACAAGCGGCGAATGGCCGCCGCCAATTATATTAGTTTAGGTTTAGAATTTACAATTCATTACATGTTGAAATAGGTAATACATTAAGGTAAAGGAATTTACTTATTGGATATGCAGATGTAAATAAGTATAAGATGATTATTTCATGCATCAGACACATTAAAAATGACATAAAAATATAACCTACGAAAGTTCAACAGCGGACTATAATAATTTTTTATCTGTTTTTATTTTATAAATAATGATGTAAAACAATACAAAAACCAATTTGAAAAGTCGACAGCCATAGACAAATTGATAAAAAAAATAGAAACATTATGCAGCTGTTATAAAATACTTTATCTGTAAACTCTTTTAAAAATAGTCAACAGATAAAACAAATGCGGTGCGTAACTAAAAAAAACAAATGCTAATATCCCTTTTCCTGGCCTTTCCCAAACAAAATTGTTTTACACATAGATTTTTAAAAAATAGCCGATTTTTAAAATAATTTTTTCACTAAAGACGATGCAATTTGATTCTAATTTTTTTTTGTATGGAGACCCGCGAGTTCTTTCTGCTTTAGAAAGTCTATGCGCTCCATGACACATGACATGTACTGTTAAGGACTAATGGTAGTCCCCAAGAATGCCCCTGCCGACGTATAGGTGTTGGCGACGTCGGCGGAGAAAAAAACTCGTCGCTTAAAGTCGAGCTCGACGCCTCAGCCACGGCCGGGACTTCTGTTGTGGTTACCGGGGCCGACAAGTCGGAGCGGACCGACAAGTCAGGTGATGTTAAAAGTGCTCTGGATTTATCTCTGGTACCTAATCATTATTCAGTCGAATTTCTTAACTGATAAACATTTTCTTGTATTTTGACATGACCTTAAGCGTCATGTCTTACTATATCTATCGCTTGGTTTCTTTATTTTAAACGTTTTTTATTATATTATTTATTATATTCATATAAAAAAGATCCATTTTATTGTTGCTTAATTTGTTTCGATTATTGTGCATTATTGTAAATCTAGTAAAAATCGGTTTATTTTGAAAATGTGTAACAGAAATTCCAACTGCTTTAAGCGTTGCTAGTATTATTGTTATTATTATTAAGTGTAACTTCGCGTGAGTTAACCTTATCAATTTCATAATTTTATTTTTTTATATCCAACATTAAATATAAATGATTTGTCAAACAACGTCACGTCACAGTATTTCATGCAAAAATCGTCGTATCGTTTTGAAGTTTAAAATAAAGATACTGATTCAACCTTGAAGGTCATCTACCCCATTACTAAGAAATATATATAAATGCTTACAGATGCAAAATAAGAATAGGGTAAAGTGCCTGACAGGTTACTAACGCCGCCTAACTTAGTAAAGTTAGGCGGCGTTAGTAACCTGTCACCTGTCTGTCAATTATTTAATTACAAAATATAATTCATCCTTAGTCTCATCACTAAGAAGTCAACCACAATTTTTTACAAAGTTTTAACATTTTTACAAAAAAAGCTTAAGCCACAAACAACTTATAGTTAAGCTGCATATGATGCCTATGTAAATTAATGAAATCCTTTTAAAAAAAAGAGTTGAACCGAGTTCAAATACTTTTGCTGGTAGGTTTTTAGTGCTCTTTGTTAGTATACCAAAGAGCACTAAAAACCTACCAGCAAACGCGATTGATTTGCTGTCATTTTTTGAAGAGTTCCGTTGTCTGTCTCCGAAACTCACCATCGGCTCTATATGAAATTTACCAGGGACCATTTTCGAATAACCCCTTTCGAAAAATAATTTTGCAAATCCGTCTATATATTTTGGAGTTATGCCCGATCATACATAACAAAAAGATAAGCATCTGAATTGATCCTACTTTGTAAGTTAGTTGAAAAGTTTTAATTACCATCTGGTTACGTGAAGACTCTGGAAACAAGTACGAGCAGCCTCACGTGTAAACAATTTAAAACCACATTGTGTGTCCTTTATACCTTTGACGGTAAACAACCACACCAGGAAATGAAAACCATACATCAGAATATTTCTGAAAACAAATATTATAACATTAAATAAAAAACACTGAAAAAAGAATACCTTCATAGTTTTTAGATATTATTAATAAGACGTATCGCCAATGCAGTTCCACAAGCGCGAAAGTCAAAATTGTCCACATGAGAGCAAAATAACTTCCAGTTATGATAGAGCAGAATTTTATGGTACTTCATCACATAAAGATGGAATTGTTTATTATAACATTCTCTCTCAACTGAAAGTATTAACAAATAATTTTGTACAAATCAAACGACGAATAGTCTCAAACTTAGAATAATAACGCATAGAAACCGAGAATACGCACGAAAAGTGAGGTAAGTAATAATAAATCATTTAAAAAAAGTTGAATCGACTTCAAACAATATTAACAGAGACCACTAAAAACCTAGCAGCAATCGCCGTCACTTTTTGATGTCACTTGAATGTCACTTTTTGATGAGTTCCTTTGTTCCGAAACTCAGAAGATCAGATTCATCAGATCTATATGAAATTTAAATGGGACGACGAAAGGAGAATGTTGTAATTATATGACAGAGTTATTGCCGAATATACATAAAAAAACCATCCGAATTGATAACCTCTTGCTTTTTTAAGTCGGTTAAAAATATGCTATCTTGGATTATCAGACTTCTGTGCGGTAAGGTATCAAAACGTTAAAACGGCAAATAAATAAGACTAACGCACTGTTAGAATCTCACTGACAACTACCCTGCTGTGGATTCAAAATTTGTATTATGTATCTACTTTAGTTTTTATGCAAACCTTGAACTTATTTTTTTTTAAAAGACGGATCACACAAAGTGTCGTCCGATATGGGGATCGAACCCACAACACTCAGCTTTGTAGTAAGCGGCGTGGCGACCGCTTAAACCACTACACTATCCGTGCAGCCAAAACGGTTCTATTTAGTATCGTATTTTCTGAGTACCTAGATAAAACGTTGCTCATTCGCCCTGACGTGGGTAGTAAAAGGACAATTATTGAAATTTTGTTAAATTTGCAGAGTTACACTTATGATTTTCGCTATTACTGACTTGGCTCTTATTTCATAGTGGCTTGGGTTTCGTATATATATTATAGAACAGAATTTAAAAAAAAGACTAATAATAAAATCTAATAGTTACCTATTTTTACAAGCTAAAGGTCAGATTTTTCTATAACTTATTGCCTAAACTGTAAAACTATCTTACTTATCTTATCTTTCTTGTGTTTTTTTTTTAATAATATATTCATTAATTAATATTAAATCAGGTATATGAAACATCCCTTCTTTTCATCTTGCCTTCCATATACATGTTATAATTAGAGAAATCTCAATCTTACCTGAATACACTTCGTGTAGCTAAAGACTCCTTTTCTAAATGAGCCCTTGAACCAATGGCAATTGCTATATTGTTGCTTGCATCACGGGGCTCTACCATATAGTCACAATTAATAATATCTTTTATTGCACCTTCTAGTTTTGTTAAATCTTCAAATTTCGATGCACCATCTGCATCCGCAAATAATATGGTGGCACCTCTGCAACTTTGGACACCCTAAAAGAAACTTTTTTTTACTAGTTGTGCCTCATGATCTAACTTGATGCTTTATTTAAAAAATTGGATACTTCTTTAAACAGTATGAAATAATCTCGCTTTTTTTCTTGTACGCTTATTTGTACCTTGTACCTTTTAAACTAAACAGCGGGTTTTGCACCAATAGAGAGTGATTAAAGTATTGTAATGTAAAGTCGAGAAAAACATGTTTTAATATACTTACATTGCAAACGCTGGCTAAACCTTACAAGATAGATCAAAATAATGTACTACGGAATTGTACATGCTAAAAAGATCTACCAAAAAGCCAGTTATGTTATATGACTATATCCAAAGGGTAACCCACAGTAACCATTTTTATCTTTTATATATTACAAAAAAATATGGGTAATTTACGAAACTATTTTGAACAACACAGTATTATTCCTAATCTATATATATATGTTGCATTGCAGGTGCATTGTGCATTTAATATATATATATAAATTACAGCATATCATTCAAATTACTAGATATCCGAGATTTCAAATGCGGGTGCAAAGCAATCGTCGCCTTCGGGCCGTACGTCCGCCCCGGCTGGCAGGAGCGGGCCCATAAATGTTGCACATACAGATGCCCTCTAATATAGTCTTATCATAATATTGTATGATTAAGTACTCCACACTAACACCACATTAGCAGTATTAGTGGTATCTACATTGAACCTGTGCAAAGCCGATGTGGATCACTGGTTTTTAATATTTTATTATATATATACATTGGCAACATAATATTTATGCTATTTTTCGTCTTCATTTGTCTTGAAATAATAATATTCTTCTAAATATATTCTCATGTGTTTTTCATCAGCTACTAACAGTCGAAGCTAATAATGTTACTTTTCAAAAGAGGATTTATGTATAGAGACTCACCAGATAATTGTTTACTATCTGGGATAATTGGGTAACTTGATTGAACATGCCAATCGCTGTGTGTTATATTATGTCCCTCACTATGTGATTGCAAAGATAAAGAACATCGGAGTTGTGATATCCTATTCACTATTAAAAACAGAGAAAGTGTATTTATATACTAAATTACATATGCAATCATGTAAATAATGATAAGACTGTATCAGGTACTTACCAATCTCACAGCACCACCTTTTCCTCTATTTTTAATCAGTTTAAGGCATCTCAATTTTTCACTGCCATACTTTTCAGTGTAAGCTTCTGCTACCTTTACCGTATTATCTTTACTACCATCGCTTACAACTATTATCTCATATTGGAATGAAGGGTGACCTTTCACACGGGTTTCCAAAAATTCTAAAGCCTCATCCAGCATTGGTGGCACTGGAAATTAAAATGACAGTTGTTGAAAACAGAAGTCTAATCCTCATAAGAAAAGTTTATTCAAAACTCTTTACTCTCAATCTCAGAAATGTCATAAAAGGTATTTTCATAGTAAAATATTAAACATCCAATATTGACTGTAATATAATTATATTGTATTTTGACCGATAGTGAAATCGGTAATCTGCTAATGTTAGTAATACTTTCTTATTATTATGAGGATTGGCCTTCTGTTCGCATTTCAGTGGGTTATGTGAATATGAACATTGTAGGTGCTTGAAACATGGCAACAGAAAGGAGCTTTACTTTTTTTACTCATATTTTTATTATTAATAGAGGTAGCTAGTTTGGCATCCTCAAAAAGACATACTTGAGTATGTTTGTATGATATTCTTTATCATTTAAGGTGTCATCCCTAAAATATAATATCTGTGTACCATATAAACTTTTAACATACATCCCTTTTAATTGCATTTACATACAATTTAGATAAACCTGAAACCTCTTTTTTAATAATATTAATTTTTATTGAATAAAGTTAACCATACAATAAGTAGAAAATTACACAATGACTACATTTAACAATAATAAGTTAACAGTAATGAGTAGTATGGCATTATACTAAGACAAATAATTATATCCCTATTGAATGTTAACCCTGCAACACTGCTGCAAGTAAGTCTAGCAATTACATAAAGTTATTTAATAATATATATTAATATTACATAACTACAAAACTAAGCTACATACTGAGTGGTGGTTCAAATTGGCCTACATTATTGGTATTGGTTCATTTTCATGCTACTCTTAAAAAAGATTTTATTCTTGAATGAGCTTATTGATTAAGTATAAGTCTGATTAGTTTATATGTGTTAATTTTGTTTATTTTCTGCAGAATGATTAAGTTAAAATAAGCCATTATAATTAACAAAAATTAAGATTTAACACAATTAATAAAATTTGTATGCCTAAGGGTACACTGTTAATTTTACCTACATTGACATGTAAATTCTATTTCTACTTCACACCAATTGTGATATAAACCAACTGCAAATTAATGCAAGTTTATAACAATAACTTACATCTTTCTTCTTCATTGTAGGCGGGTACAATGACACTCAAATTCAGGCATTCTGTTTCATTGATACTAGGGAACTTGAGTTTTTTCTTAGCTTTAGGATCACTGTATGTAGTCTCCTCTTCAAATTGCTCCACTATAGGATATGGTTTTGTTATCACATAGAGTGTAATGGATACCTTTAACATTTAAATTAATAAAATTAGAAGCAAAGCACTTCATAATTTCATCATGCTGATCGCTTATCATTACAATAAAATATACACAGTTATTTGCTGGAAACAAAATACTTTGATAACTCATATTTTTTAAATAATGCATTATGAACAAGTGCAATGAGAAGTAGAGTTAATACCGTAAATAAATGAATGTTTCAAGAATAAACATTATATATTATACTTACTAATAACAGGCAGGTTATAGCGGCTGCGATACCGTATGAAATCAAAGTCCATATTAAAAAAACTATTTCCATTTTACTAAGAGTACAAATGGTAATCTTAAATCATTACAGAACTCGTTATATCATTTAATTACGAACAAAATACCGCATATTTATTACCACATCACCTAAAAATTTGAAGTTTGAACAATTGGCCAACAATAGTGACAAGCAGTGTTGCCAGGTCGAACTTTAAAGTAAACATGGTAATTATTCCTACTTTTAAATCTTATTCATTTGACGAAATGATTGGATTTATTCACAGTGATAACACATGTGATTGTGTGTTTTAGTGCCTTTATCTTTGATTTCATCGAAGATAAAGGCACTAAAATCAATCAAAATTATTTTTATTAAAGATTACCTTTTTTTAGATTTAGACCTTTCTGTCAGTGGTTTTGTAAATCAGTCACAGGTGTGATTGTATAATTTATAAATCATAATTTTTTTGACATGCGATTGTGATTTTATTTCATCCCTACTTTAAAGATGTAGTAGAGTTGTTTTTACAAAATCGGTAAATATGGGTAAAGATCAGAAGTTACATATATTTATTATATGGGTACCGAGGTTCCCCTAACCAATCAGGTTCCAAGAAATGATCGTTTCGTATGAAACTTTGGAACCTAATTGGCTTGATCGATGCGTCACTATTTTCTTAACACGAAGGGACAACTGCCATTTTAGTCACTTACATATAAAAAGAACTTTAATTATACATTGTATACATATTTAATGGATATAATTCTGTTTAGTCGTGTCTATGCTCAAAAGCATAGAGAGAACACGGGGCTTAGCTACCTTTAAGTGAGAGCGATACAGAGATGGATGCCCGATAGTTCTCTCTGCCTCTTTTTAGCTAAGCTAGCATGTAGCAGCTAGCATAGTGAAGTAGGCATGGTTTTGATCCTAGAATAAGTGGGAGATTAAAAATTTCCCCAGCCAACTACAGAGCTCGACTAGAAAGAGATAGAGGGAACTGTCTATTATCTACCTATCTCGTTGCCTATATTGCAAGATTGGGGCTCTTATTCACTCTATGCTTAAATCTCTATGGTTTTGAGAGTAAACTAATGAAAAACGAGGGTATTTCCCTCTTTAATTTTTAGGTACCACTATAGCAGCGCTGCCATATAATTTTGTAAGGCAAAAATACAATTCAATTTTAAATGAAGTAGTTACCCTACTTAAGAGAATTATATGCATATAATAAAAATTCAAAGCAACAGAACTTCAAACAACAGTTTTTGGAATTTTTGTCTGTTTATTTGTTTATCTATGCGTTTATGCGCGCTAATATCAGAAATGGCTTAACTTATTTGGACGCGGTTTCCACTAATGTATTACTTTTCTTTCCTCATAAATTTCACTTAAAATTTATAAGGAAAGAAAAGAAAGGAAGAAAGAAAATTTTATTTGGTACAGACACACTAATATAAGGTCCACCCATAGTAGGGTTCACAAAACTAAAATCATTCACCCTATTTATAAAGTGAAACAGGATATCTTTTTGGGGTGCCAACAATTTCTAGGTAACTTTTTCTGTCTGTCTCACCGCTGCACCAAATGGGAGTCCAGTTCAGCATTTGCCAAGCGAAGGCCCAGCGCTGGTTTTCGACCGGAACCCGTTTATTATCGTAACTCACGGACGCCACATGCAGCATCTGTATTACTTAACTTTACATACCTACACCATATGACATTGCGTTTACAGTAAATATATATGTGTATACATAACACAACACCCCTACAACTACAAAAAATAAAAACAGTGACACTGTCACTGTTTGTCTGACGATGGAGCGAGAAAAAAGATAGACGCGGACGTCTTAATAAAATCTGTTATCGGATCCCTGCTGTTTCAGGCGCAGTGTGTGGTTTTAGTCGGTTCGATTCGGATACAACCTCAGTTACATTCGGATACATCTATGGCAGAGATCCGCCAGTACCCTCAGAGCGCGCCTTTTTCAGGGCGATCAGAGCTTCGACCCATACCTTTGCACCGTATAGCTACACCATTGACTAGACATCCCTGGTCTATCAACCCATAAAGTAATCCCCACTACAGCTGCAGTTGTAGCAACTGCAGTTTTGTGTACACGCACTAGCTTCACTTTTCGTAGGTATCAGAAAATGAAAGCAAAAATGTAGTGGCAATAACGTAATATAAATCCTAGATGTCAACCTTAACGATCTCTAAAGAATTAAGGAATTGTTTATATTGTATTAGTATATACATTTGTTAAAAAAATTCTGCGCGCGCGCTCCTAGGCACGTGCTTACTTTGCCTTAAGGTTAATACGCCACTAGGTGCTACGGTATTTCGACAGGTAACCTCATCACGTAACTTCATCATAAATCTGATGTTGCCCATTATCCATGTTTACGATGGTGCTGTAATTAGACAAGTCTTAAGTGGTGCATGTATTTAGTGTTTGTTTTATTTCAATCGGTTTACAAAAAAAAAAGTATCAATTTAAAGAATCGCATCAAATAGTGACTGTCGTTTGTCTTGCGTTGCTGGTTATATCAAGTTATATCCTCATCTATAGGTATACTCGAATTAAATGCAGTAAAAGACAAATTTTATCTTTATAAAATTTGTCTAGTGATAAAAAATTTTGTTACACACGCGATATAATGTATGTTATAAATTCACCTAAGCATTACTTAAATATATTTAATTTTCTTTTAACAAAAAAAACGTTATTCGGTCTTAAATTTAAGAGTTAAATTAAATTAAAGAGTCAAATTTATTGTAGGTCTATCAAAGACTAATATTTTTGTAATGCATTATATTTCTTTAATTGAAGCGACTCGACTACGATATTCACTGAATAGAATGTCATCAAGTTCGGTAGAAGACTCGGAAAGTTGAGCAGAAATTAATATTCTTCCATGGGTAACCAAAAACGCAGGCTTTTTGTATTCACCCAGAATTGACTACTCTGGATTCGCATCTAAAAGAGATATGGTGGTTCGATCGTGTGTGTCGGAGCGTAGACTGTGCTTTACAAGAAATGTTGTTTGTAGATGCTCTCGGTGGAACGTGAAAGACTTTTCTAACCAAAGTTATTATAGTATGTTAAAATTCCGATCGTCTTTTAGAGCGAAATTTTGAGCTTCGTTTCTTGGGCTAATAGAGTTATGGAAGAAGAAGAATCTACCAACTATTAAGTATAATTTTTAAAATCTCTTAGTGCTCCTGGATCGCCGTGTAGTGTAGTGACTAAAGTGTATTAGTTGAATGCTCAGAGAATAAATTTAAAGGTATTGAAGAAAAGGTAGAGATTTAAAGATATTCCTATAATGTTAGGATATCTAAGCCTATCAAAACTCTGTAATGGTACCATATTATAAATGACCAATTTACAACGAAACGTAATAGTAGCAGAGATTATAAGAGTCCGGAGCAGGTGATACTGTTTTATACCCCGGACTCCTCTAATTCCACCGTTTCGTTTAGTTCGGAACTGGATTCGTTTAGTTTGAAAGAAATCCAGTTCCGCGAAAAACAACCAATACTTAGACCCATGTACCCGCAACTGCCAGGACATTTAATCACACAATTATTCACAATAATCACAATAATTAAAGCCCAAGGTCAGACGCTGAAAGTTGCGGGTGTAGATCTAAGTATTGGTTGTTTTTCGCACGGTCAGCTTTATGTGGTTCTGTTGAGTGTTAGTAATCCTAGTAAACTGTATGCTTCTCTCCCCGACAGCTATACGGGGTAATACAGTGTATAGATAAGCATTATTGTTAATTTAATAATAGATAAATAGTATTGGATAATAAATTAAATAGTAACAAATTTTTACTGCCTATTAAATTAAATATAATTATAGACAAATATATGACTTTTTGCCGGTAGAACTTCACGCAGACAAAGTCGCGAGCAACAGCTAGTTTATAATTATGTTGGCTGGCTTGATCACCGGTTTCTACCGCAGTTGTTCCTTGCAATTTTACCTCGTTTGTAGTCACTGCCCCGCTCGCGTGCACTTATAATGCACAATGCACAAACTAACCTGACTTTATTTCGAAAGTTATGGAGCATTTAAGATTCTTATTACCTTTAATGTTACCCATGCTTATTATTACACGCTTTATATTGGCTTCACTTGTATGTTTGTATGTTAGTTTGTAACCGACTCCTTTGGGCGTGATTTTGACTTACATTAAACGGTCAGAATTCGTTCAAACTTTGTAGATATATCGAGGACCAATGACAATACACTAATTTAAAAAAAAAAAAAATTAAACAAAATAATAGTTTTAAAAAACTAAAAAGTTTTAGTTTGGTTTTCTATAAAAAGCGTGATTTTTAGTTTTTTTTTTTAATTGCTGTCTTATACAGGATTTCTTTCTTTAATCATTTAATTGTCTTAAACAATAAGCTTATACTAAATACTGTATTTAAGTATTAAAGTATTAAAATGAACGGTTACTTTAAATTAATGAAAAATTTAAATTAATAAAATGAAATGAAATAAATGAAAAACTAAATAAAAAGGAAAGAAGAAGACAGGATAAATGTGTATAGTGAATTAATTCTATAATCTTGTCTCATAGCTTCAAAAATGTATGTATACGTGTAAATCATCTTTCAAAGGTCTAAATAGCATTGTTTAGTTTGGAGTTGTTTTGAGTAAATAATCATTATAAATATAGATTCAAATGTTTGAAATTTACATATTTTGTTTTTAGTATGCACTGTGTAGATGGGATGAAGGGCGGTTTTCTGTTTCTACCATCGTCGTTATTTAAATTATTAGCTACTTGTCTTTATAAAACTTTGTGATGGATGTGTTTTAACTATTTTTATTTTCTGCAGTCTAAAATTTTCAAACAATAATTTGAATAACTTGGGGCAGGTTTAAAATGACGAAAAAAAAAAACTAATACTACCAAAACATCGACTCACAAACGTATCAAAACCAAAGTACTTTTCTTTGTAAGAACGAACTTTGTGTTTGTTTTCTTTTAAACTTTGTAATATACATTAAGGCGATGGTGGTAGAGAAGAGGGT